GAGAAGCGTGGCCAGCAGGTCGAGGGAGGTGATTCTGCCCCTCTACTCTGCTCTGGTGAGACGTCACCTGGAGTACTGCGTTCAGCTCTGGAGCCCTCAGCACAAGAAGGACGTGGAACTGTTGGAGCGGGTCCAAAGGAGGGCTACAAAAATGATCCGAGGGCTGGAGCACCTGTCCTATGAGGACAGGCTGAGAGAGTTGGGCTTGTTCAGCCTGGAGAAGAGAAGGCTGCGGGGAGACCTGATTGCAGCCTTTCAGTACTTAAAGGGAGCCTATAGGAAAGATGGGGACAATCTTTTTAGTAGAGACAGCAGTGACAGGATGAGGGGTAATGGTTTTAAACTAAAACAGGGTAGGTTTAGGCTAGATATAAGGAAGAAATTCTTTACAATTAGGGTGGTGAAACACTGGAACGGGTTGCCCAGAGAGGTGGTGGAGGCCCCATCCCTGGAAACATTCAAGGCCAGGTTGGACAGGGCTCTGAGCAACCTGATCTAGTTAGTGGTGTCCCTGTTCGCTGCAGGGGGGTTGGACTAGATGACCTGTAGGGGTCCCTTCCAACCCAAAACTTTCTATGATTCTATGATTCTATGATTTGTCTGACCCCACAGGGAGCTGGTTCAGGGACGTTGATTGAGAGAGCAACCCTCTGTTTTTGGTACAGTGAATTCTGTTCCAGGTCAGAGAAGCAGAGGGAGTACTTGGTTTTGCAATACTGTTTACTTAGAGTATGTATGCTTGTTAATAAATTTCTTTTGAAGCTCTCTTATTTGGACTGTGGTAGAGGTAAGTAATAATTTAGCTACTTGCTTTTCCTAGAAAATATGGCTTAAGCTGGAAACACAGTGCTGATTTTAATTACCACTTTTTGGGTTGTACCTGAGTAACTCCTTGAATATCTGGATAGGAACTTCTCAAGGGCTTTATTTGGGTGAGAGTGCTCAGATTCTATAGAGTAATCTGTAAACATTTCAGTGGTTGTCTTAGTCACTAATTCAGGAGAAGACATGGATGTTCTAATTGCATAAATAGACAGTTATCTCTAAGCCTGGATTTAAACTTCATTCACAAAGTAAAGCAAGATTGTAAATATTTTCTTGAGCCAGATCTCAATGATTGTTTGTTAATATGAGATTTTCTTGAGAAACAGCTTTTGAAGATTACTTACACCTCTAGAAGTGATTTTGCACTCTGGAGTTAAATCTTGAAATTGGTCTTTGGAGCAATTAGTCTCCTCGATTTCATATTTAATTATGTAATTCCATCCAGCTACCACCTGGAACAGATATTTAGAAGATACATTATGTAAACCAATACAAAATTGGAAGTTAAACTATTAAATGTGATTAGCAAAGAAAGCAAAACTGCCTTTCATCCATCTAATCACTTTGCAGTCATTGAGCCATAGAGTATTCATGGAAAGCAAAAAAAAAATCCTGGCCTTGTGATACAAAAAGTGAACAAAGTCATGCATATACTAGAAGTGTACTTTGTATTTGGATTCTGCTCCTCCTGGCAAGCCTGCAACCTCATCATACTTGGTTTCTTGCACTTTCCTCCAAAGTATCTGTTACTTATTACTCCCGGTGACAGGAAGCTGGTCTAGATAGATGACTACACTAATCCAGTTTGGCAAGTCCTGTGTTCCTGAGCGTGGGACATAGTAAAACGGTATCTGAATAATGTAACTTTATACTGCTGGCATCGTTTTTTATTGAGTGTCTTGCGTTTATCATATACCTATAGTTGTGTCTGCCTTGGGCTTTACCTTCCCCTGCCTGCTATTTTGTCCAGATTTGTGACCCTTCTTTTTCATTTTCTCTCCAGGAAGTAGTTCAGTTTTCCTCATAGAGGCTACTGCTTCTCACCCATGAAATCTCTTAATGTCACAGTGTTTGGTCAGGTAGCATTGGATTAAAAAGGGGAAATAAGAATCAAATATAGGAACTTTCCATCCCAGATCAATTAAAGCTGAGGGTTCTGACTGGTCTCTGTTGGCCAGAAGTGATGTGATGGTTCTCTTTCCAGCTGCTGGATTGCAGTCTGTGTATGACATTTTGTCATGTGGCTTAAACGTTGTGCTAGCTTCTCTTTCAGCTAAGAGGATCGTTGCCATCAGTAAAGAAAAAAGAGGACAGTCTGAGTTAAATCCTACGTCAGTTTGACCCATAAGATGCTTTTTGGTTAAGCAAATACACACACATTCAAAGGAAGGTGTCTATATTTAGTGTCAGGTTATATACTCGTTAAAAAACAAATAACAAACTTTGCTTTCTAGCAACATCACACCAGTACATAGGAGAGCCCTTCACAGGGAAATAGTTGTTGCATGGAATACCAGATGACACGGAATTTCTGTGACCTGAGCAGTCATTTCTTGCAAAGCACATATTCCTGTGTGCAGAAATCTTTCAGCGACATGCTGGATTTTTGTTTTTCTTCACCATTTTTCACGTATTGGGTTTCCCCGTCCTATAGCATATAGCAGCTGCTGACATATGGGTCCTATTGTATTGCAAAAACATAGATGACTGCTGCTATTGGAGAGGCTGCAGAGTATATGAGACATCTGTGCAGGCTGGCAGTTTTGGCACAGAACCTAGGAGAGATCTGCTGCTGCTGGAGGCCAAGTGGAATACCCGAGAGCATCCAAGAGCACACAAGATGTCTATGTCAGCATTGAATGCAAATAAACTGGTGCTAAACAGTGGTTAGATGCAGCTGCAGACAAAGAAAAAAATATGTTTACCATCAGTTTTTAAAGTTGACAGCTCTGAAAAATCCAGTAGGTAGCCATTTACGATTCCTTGTAAATGAAGATAATTATTTACAGGGTCTACACTCTATATGAATTTTTTATTCTTTTATAATGAAATATAAGCCACCTGAAAATCAGGAATAGGTACATAATACAACCAAGGTACCTGGGTTTGGGGTTTTTTTGGTAAAATTTAGAGAAAAATCATACACAAACCTGTCTTTTAGCTTCTTTTATTTCCACAAGCTTAAAAAGGACAGGTTCATCACTGTGCCTGTTAAAATTTTGAATAGCTTGTTTCAGAATTTTTGATACTTCTGAACTGTCACTTGATATAGGATGGAAGCACCCGAGACAGGCAGCCTCAGTAAGCGTTATCTTTGGCGTAGCTGGAAAAGAAACAAACAAAAAAATATAGGGCTTCATGTAAAACAACCTCAGGTTTTGATTTTTCCTGTTTGGGAATCAGAGAAGAGGTTCAATGAGCAAGAACATTTACTGCTTTTAACTGGAGTGATCAGCAAAATCCACATTTCAGTTTCAGGGCCTGCAGAGACATTCACTGTATTTAGAAACATGCTTTGGTTTGTGGCGGTAGGGGCCATCCATGGCATTTGGATCTAGGCATGGTTTCAGCAGCAAACTTAATTCAGATGAGTGAGTTCAGGAGTCACTGAATTTCTGAAAAACCTTGCATGTAATTTTGACACCACTAAGGAAGGGTCATCCTTCATCCAGTCAGGGAAGAACCAGCAGAGGCTACAACTAAGGAGATGTTCTTCAGATTTTTCAAAGCTCACCCACTGTGTGCAGCTGCTTATTGTCCTCACCATGTTTCAGGATGGGGATTTTGGCAGGAGTATTTTGGCTCACCCATGTGAATTGCTCTGGCTCTGAGCTCCTTAGGGACTGTAGCTGAACTATTCTACTGCTGTGCTGTTTGAACTCCCCCTGCTAGTCCCTGCGGCTGCCGGTTACCACTTGGTGTTACCTTCAGGCTTAACCAGCTGGATTGGCTGTGGATGGATGAGCTTGATGGGGATGCTCAAACTTCTGTTTCCTACTACTAATCCTATTAACTCTCTTTCCTTTCTAGTAATCATGGATTGGATTTTCATAAATTAATTTTATAGTTCAGTACATAAATTAATTTCATGATTCAGTGGGCTTGAGAATGAAAGTAGGACAATATGTGGTCTCTGTGGAATTGAAGTAAAATTTGTGTGCCTGATCCTCAGCTGTCATAAACTGGCTTTAATGGAGTTACGGCAGCTTGCACCAGCCAGGAAACCAGTCTAGGGTCAACAGGATCAAACAGTTCCACCAAGAAGGCTGAACAGTATAGTACCTAACATGGTGGGGAAATCCCTCACAAGTTAGGGTTTATTGTTTCACTCTTTCTGTTTGAATCCTTTGGAATTGATTTGGCTCCTCTGTACATTTGGAATATCTCAGTGTAGGCAATACTATTTACTCGTAGCTCTGCAGAGGATACTTGAACAAAGTCTGGCCCTTCGTATTTCTAGCATCACTTATTTTGACTCAGTAAAGACAAATACATACATGTTCCAGAAAAATGTGACGTTTTCAGGGAGTAATCACAAATGAGATAATAAAACAACAGTACACCCAATTCTAAACCAACTACAGTCTCAGCATTTTTGTATGTGCTGAACAAACGTGTGTTCTTTCTTCAGAGTTGCTATAACTTGGTAACGAGATGAGCTTCTTAGGCTGAATACGATTCATTTATGTACGGATTTTTTGCTTTCTAAGCAAAGATTCAAATGCAGATTTCCCATGCATTCTCTGTGGGATTCACACACTTTTTACTGGCAACTAGATGTCACCATTGCCATACAAATGCGTTTGAACCAAGCAGTGTTTATTCAGTAGCAGAGCATGGAGTTTGTGTGCACTGCAGTTCCTAGAAGCACACTGGCTGTAGGTATAGCCATTTAAGCTTTAAACAAGATAACTAGGAACAAAAAACAGAGATAAGCTGTGAAACACCTCAGAAATCACGGTAAATATTTCAGTAGTTAATATGCACTTAGCTCCCTGCTACCAGTTAGATGGATATTTTAAAACTAGCTCAGATATGGCTTACATGAACACTAGGCATAGGCACATAGAGATCTCAGTTGCAACACTTTAAAACAGCGTGATCCCTTTCTAATAACGGAAATTACTGTGAACATAATAGTCGTCTATGAATGTCTCACAGGCAAGAAGTGTAGTACTGTATTTAAGGTCTAAAAGAGATCACAGTCTCTCTTACATAATTACATCACTGCTAGATTTTTATTTTGTAAGTGAAATATTTTTGTTGTTATTTTTTTGGTTGGGGTAGATATTTGTTTTGTTAAACAGAAATAATTTGTTTTGTTTAACAGAAAATATTTAGTCTTTTTTAGTTTGGAGGAAATTAAGGTACAATTTTGTAATACAAATTTTTTTTCTAATAATTTCTGGCACATTTTTATCCTTGAACAAGTAAGGACATAAAATTAAAATGTAACAAGTTGTATATATTCTCCAAGTTACTGATATTCTTTTGGTATTAAGCAAATTCATTTTAACTTGGTATAATTCCAGTGTTTGAAGAAATTTGCTACACACAAATGTGCCAGTTTCCATTACCCTATACAGAAACTGCCATTGCTTCGCTAACTTAGCCTATATGTGTATAACAGTGAAGTGAAATTTTATTTTTAACATGTAGTTGCTTATGAAAGATTATTTGTAAATGTCTGAGTAGAATGATAAGGAGTTCCTACCTCTAAAATTACCTGAAAGTCTCAGTATTATATGTTTCCCATTCTTATTTGTCAACGTACTTGTTGAATGCAGCCCCGAACAGTTGCATACCTGGAAAAATTTTGCACTCTTGTGAAACATTACTTGTTTTTTCAGCGTCATCTATGTGAATTCCAGCTGTGCATTCTCCTGTTGTCTGCAAAAACATATGACAACATTTGTCTTAAACTTGCTGAAGAAAAATAATGCTATACATTCCTCTAGCTATTGAACAAAGTTGACAGTTACAAATTGAGTTTGGGGAACAAGTTCATATGTAGATTTGTAGTAATGTCTAATTTTCTGTTTTGTTACTGGAAAAGGAATGCTTTTGTTGATTGTGAGGAGAGTACGGGGTGAACTGAGCAGATAATTTGAAATATTGCTCTGTATCGTGATTGATGCTTATTAATTAACTAAAGATTTTACAGTCAGAAGAATGGAAATGAACACATCCTCATAAATAAAGCCTGTATAAATTGTGTATTTACCTAATTTCCTCTCTGCTAGTACAAGATATGCAGCAATGACCATGGCATTTCGTGTCAATTCAAATTATATTATCACCATCATGCCTTTCTTTGCATATGTACTGTTGAAATAACAGTGACTTCCACTGGAAACGTGCGGTGTCCCTGCACGCTATCTGTGCCTCAGTTGTGCCTCCTCTAGATGCTCACTAGTAGCATGAGCCAGGCATGCTTGGCACTGCTAAAAGCCTTTGGTAAATTTTCTGCCATAGTGGCTTCCATGTCAGTGCTTTCGTTGGTGCAGATCTGAAGTCAATTTGGTTGTGCAAGTTTCCATAATACATAATTAATAGAAAGTTTTACAGCTCTCACACTCTCACAGTGCATGTATCTTCTGTTGAATTTGTTGTGAACCGTCATACCGAAGCGCTGAAATGTTCCCTTCTTCACATATTTGGCATTATAATGGTAAACTCATGATTATAATGCTTAACTTCAGAGTTGTAAACATTTCTGTACTGTACTTTAGTCCTATAAGCTCTCAAAAGAAACACGGCTAAAAAAGTTAAATTCTCTACTGCATTTTTCCCCAGGTGGCTGCAGTACGGGTCATTATGCTGATGTTTCTGTACAGAGAGCTTTTAAAGAGGACGGATACTTACAGCTTCTGCAGGTACTTTGTAATCACAGTCTTGCCAGAGTTTGTTTTCCTCGATGGCGCAAGTGGTTTCTTGTATTCGATATTTCACATAGAATTGTGTGTCAGGACCTGCCTGTATAAAAACAATATGCATGTCATCATTTGCATAGTAATAAATCAAGTGAAAAGATAAGAACTTCGAGAGGTAAATACTATCCATTGGTCATCTTATACTTTATAGTATGGTTTCAGATTAGCTGCTGGTTTCCATGGAAGGTCTCCCAAATCTTGGTAGCTCAATAATTATCTGACTGTATTACTGAGCCCTTACCTACAATTACAATGTGTTGATACAACAGATACATTATGCTCTACTACCTTCATTTTAACTTGTAGCACCAACGGTTTTAAAACCAGAAAGAAGTGGTTAGGTTTTATATTCATATTCAAATGTACTCCAAATAAGCAAATTTGGGTTGCTGCTTGGATAGTTAGCATAATTACCAGCTTGGACTGTGCTCCTGTCTGACGCTCTCGCTCTTGGCCTCCTCCCAGATCTGTCTATTTTCCTCCTGCACAACTCTACGAGAAGCCCAGAAACAGCAGCCAGCAGCCCTCAGGCAGCCTGGCAGTGCCCAAACTGCCTTTACTCTCTGGTAACAGGGTACTTCAGCTGCCCTGCCTGCTTGAAGGAATGAAAAGAGGAGGGAATATGCTCTGGAAGCAGCCTTTGGCGGTGCCTGCGGTTTTCCTATAGGCATTAAAGGCTGTGCTGCTCATGAGGGTTGCCTCAGGAATTCCATAAGTTGAAATATGGACAGAGTATTAAGCAAAGTTTGGCCTGGCCAGTGGAACCGTTTCTCATGTTGGTACCTGCAGGTAACATTAACACACTGCAAGGTTTGTGGTTCATCCTTTAGAGGAGATATAAAGCCAGAAGTTACTAATTTTTTACAGCTACTAAAAACGCTCTGCCAATGTGCCTTTTCAAATACAAACAGAAATAGTTGCTGTACTTTAACACTGGTTATCCTCAGATGATACTGCTGGGAGAGTTAAATGATAATTCTTGCCTTACTGGTACCGAGAAAGTGAAGCTGAGCTGTCGTGGGTGGAATATACTGGATTTACACTGGTGTAGACACAGAATATAATTCTGTGTTCTCTCAATTCCTGTTGTGTATTGCTACAACTACGAAGAGGTGTAGAGATACCCAATATAATGGTTGTAGGTCATAAAACAGGATGAAAGGGTCTCTAAAAATGTAATGGACTTAATCCTCAGCAGGTATAAATTGACATTTATGGAGCTGTGTCAGATTATACTATCTGGTATGTGGACTTAAAAAGAGCCAAATTCTGTTCTCTGTTACAGTGTTCTAAATCTGCAATAAATCAGCTTAGTGAGTAAATGAAATACGTGAGAAAAGACATTGTTTCTGTATATTATTTGTTGTTGGTTTATTTCATTATTATTATGAACAGCTATGCCTTTAACTGGGGCAGGTTCAGTCTTTCACCAGTCAGCTTTTATGTTTTATTACCTTATCAATAATGAATGCACATGAATATGTAATAACCAGCTATTTAATTAATGCACTCAACATTGGGAGACTAGTAATGAGTAAAATCTGTACTCTTTTTAGAAAAAGGATGTCAAATATGAGGAAATCTCTGTTGCAGATTCCTCTTCTCTGCTTTTTATTTAACATCACAGTCAGATCAGTGATTCAAAGTAATAATTGATTTCCATCTAAGATCTTTTAAGAAAAGGAAAGATGGATATCTATAGAAGGAAAGATGAATAATAATTGCAATAAATATGTATTCTTAAAAATAGAATAATGTTTAAGATAAAATACTGAAACTAATATCTGTCCTTTGGGAACATCAGCAAAAGGAAGGTGGTGTTACAGCTCCGATATAAAGACATTTGCATTTGGGTATTGTTAAGGATGTGTGCAGTTCAGTGAAGACAGTGTGACTATTCACTTGTTTAATATTAATTGTATAAAGGGTTTGCCAGATTTTAGTCTTAGTCACCACATGCTAAAACCTCTCCAGTCTGGATACAGGAAAAACAGAGGGTAGGTGCCAGGAGATGGGGGTAGTTTACTGTAAGGCATTTAGCAATTCATATCCCCTTTCCACAGTCAATTTCTATCTGGGTAAAAGTGTCTTATGATTTTGGAGTGCAAAATGTTCTCTCTAACACTGGATTTCTTCTGGTGTACATCTGAAAATCCAATCCAGTAGAAAAAAATGCTAATGTTGTTTTCAAGTAAAGTAATGCTTGCCATTGTTATGGTAATAACATCTTTGTATGGCTCTCAGAGGTAAATAATCTTTTGTTAGATTAACACTATACAGAAGTACTCCAGGCAAAGGATCATGTTCTTTATTTTTTTCTTCTGTAATTTTAGCTGTCACCCTATTTGATTAAAATAGCACCTAGTGCTTTTAGATAGATCTGTGACTCAGGACTAGTGTCAATCAAATAATATTCACAAACAATTCATTCAGAGTATTGCTGAATTTTATCAGGTCATTCTTTTTTATGTGCGATACCAGTGCTTCCCAAGTCAAGACAATATTCAGTTTTTTTAGTAAGAGTAGTTTTGCCATTGATCTGAAAAACTTACTGATGATGGAAAGGGGTATAATTCTCAACAGAGAAAGGAGAAAACAGAATGGACTAGTAAGACAAATTATATTAGTGATAGAAATTTTCTATTCTTTAGTCCTTGTATTAATAAGCAATTCACCAGCACACATAGTTCCATTGATAAGAAGATAATATACATCCCTGCTTGTCATGGTAACAAGTATCTTACTGTGCAAGTCATTTATTTGATCTTTTAAAATGTTTTTTGAAGACATTTTGCTGTCATGCTTGCTCTCTTATGAGCAAGATGTTTTTTTTTTTTTCTGCAAAGTCTACTTGCTGTTCTCTTGGCTTCCATCACCATGTATAGAGCAAATTGATTGCCATTTGCTCTGTCTTCATTGTATTTCTTCAGTGCTGTGTCAACAGCTGTAAAGACATCAGGGTCATCACAGTCCAAAAACTCAAATGGAAGAGGGGTTGCTCCGCTAGAGAAAAAACTACAGCAGAATGCTAGTAGGATGAAAGGTTTCATAATTGGACAAAAAAAGACTCCCAAATTAGAAGGCTCTTTAAAAATCTAATGGAAAAGGAATGCCTGACAGGGTTTTAGTCACCTCTTCTGTTTTTCAGGAGCAATAGCTAAGTAAACAGAATGAGTGGGTTGCTGGGGTTGGTTGATTCTCATCATACCCTGTTTATACTGCAAATAAACTTCTGAGTTTATCTAAATAAGCTTTGTGTAGTCATCAGAATGACACTAAGGTTATCCACCTGCCATCAAGATAACAGGCTAAATGGCTGCAGCTGGGAACAGGTTTAGACTAAGCAGGATGGCCCCTGAGCAAAAGAGAAAGCAGAGTGTTTGCAACTTTCTGGCTTCTTTTCTTAATGTCTAAACTGCTACTGAGAATGAATTTTAGAAGGCTTAAATAAAACACTCATGACAATCACAGTGGCAATGAAGTTCTGGTTCTGGACAATAATCCTGTAAATTTTATAGATCTTTTTATTGTTCAGAATGCAATAGTTCTGAGAAATCAGAACATTTTTTTAAAAATCCTTTGGACAGATACATGTCATTAAATGTCACATAACTCTTCAATAATGCTTGATAAACCTTGTCCTTCACGCTACTATTGGAAGCGTCCATCTTTGCTGCCATGTGGAGACTGCCTTTGGACTGTGGATTAGTCAGTCTTCATAATGTTTTGTTATCATTGCAGATAGGAAAAGTGAGCCCAAGAACAAGGGATTAAGTAATGTTGCCTGTGTGTGGCAGAGCTAGAATTAGAGCTGGCTGGGAACATCTGGTGCTTGTCTCCAGTGTTGAGCACCGAATAGCTTTGCATTGAATCCCTGCATTTGCTTTGAATACCTTTGCCTCCTCCTCTACTCTGCCCTAATGAGGCCCCATCTGGAGTACTCTGTCCAGTTCTGGGCTCCCCAGTTCAAGAAAGATGAGGAACTACTGGAGAGAGTCCAGAGGAGGGCTACGAGGATGATGAAGGGCCTGGAGCATCTCTCCTATGAAGAAAGGCTGAGGGAGCTGGGCTTGTTTAGCCTGGAGAAGAGAAGGCTGAAAGGGGATCTTGTAAATGCTTATAAATATCTTCAGGGTGGGTGTCAAAAGAATGGGGCCAGACTCTTTTCAGTGGTGCCCAGCGACAGGACAAGGGGCAACGGGCACAAACTGAATTTCCATCTGAACACGAGGAAGAACTTCTTTACTTTGAGGGTGATGGAGCCCTGGAACAGGCTGCCCAGAGGGGTTGTGGATTCTCCTTCTCTGGAGATATTCAAGACCTGCCTGGACAAGGTCCTGGGCAGCCTGCTCTGGGTGACCCTGCTTTGGCCAGGGGGGTTGGACTAGATGACCCACAGAGGTCCCTTCCAACCCCTAACATTCTGTGATTCTGTGAACACCTTGGGATTGCCTCATCTCCGGTCCATTTGTGTCTTGCTACAAGTTTTGGTTAAAGAAAATGCACTTCAGAGACTTTGTGGATAAACTATGCCAGAAATAAGGTTGTTCGTAAATGATAACGCACTTTTAAAAATTAGAAAACCTTCACTCAGTTAAACAAAACTCTGTCCCCATTTTGTTTCCTTTTCTTCAGTGTAGCCCTCACACTGTAATTTACTTTATGCCATTAAAAAGCTACTCTGAGGACCAAATTACTAATTTTTTAAGATTAATCCCATGTTCTTGCTTATTAGATGATGACTGTTCTGAAGTAACTCACTGGGGTCTCTGAACGGACTTTACCTTGATGGGGGCTAGAGTATAAAGAGACACCAGTATTCTTTCTTCCTGCATCTCCCAACTCAGTTTCTATTGAGGAAAGTTCAGTGATAAAGAAAATATTTACATGAAAGAATTATTACATACATCTGCTTTTCTCCTCCCCTGAGAGCAGTTATGAACCATTTGAAAAGGGCTGTCCCTGAATGCAGTATTTCTGGCATAGCACTGCCAGCAGCTGTAGCAAAGGACGTACCTGTGCAGGCCACACTGCAGTGTTACACTACAAGTCATTAACTAATCTCAGACCTTTGCTAGATAATGGTGGTAACCCACCACCATTAGTCAATTTATGCTAGAGTATGCTTCCTGAATGTTTACTGTGCAGCTAAATATCCACAATGGCAAAAAAGACAGAACTTTGGCAACTGTGTCAAGAAAAAAATGCGTACTTGTTTTTATTTTCTTTAATCTTTATAAACTATGAATGTAGTGCCATGCATCATTTTTCATGGAAGGCAATCAAATTTCCTCTAGGTCAGATTTCCTCAGAGAAGTATGTTATAATTATGAATGATGAGAAAATGAAAGATTCTAGATGGCAGTTTTTGCTATTAGGGGATTTTCCTTTTTGTTAGAACTAAAGGAACATTGTTTGCTAGGGAGCTTTGTACCCACTCACGTTGTCTGGGGGACTCAGAGTTTTGAGCCTTTCAGTTAGTGTGGAGTCTGAGATAGCTGGGATCAGGAGGAAGGTTGGAATACTTGTCTTAATCATTATTTCCAGTGCTGCTTCTCCCTAGAAATTGTATGCTTTTTCCCCTTCTCCATGTGCTGTTTTCATTCATTGTACAACTGTCATTAGCCCTGCAAGTCTCAAGCCAGGAACGTCTTTCTCTGAGGTCATGTAGGAGAATTTTCTGCCATGGAGCTATGTGGAAATAAAGGCAAAATTTTTGGAAGAACAAGTATGGGGTTTCCTGGGCATGACTTTGATTGTGTAGGGTGATCTGGAAAACCCGGAGCTGCTGGCGTCTCCTTTAGGCTTGAGCCAGTGAAGGGAATACCTTCACCAGTGCCAAAGGAGTGAGGGCTGTTTTGGGATAGCTCAGGAAAGTTTGCAGAGGGAGCTGTGAGTGTATCCTGCTGATTTAGAACTGGAATGCGATAGACAGCTCCTGTTACTTGGAATGGAAAGTACTTTCCCAAAATGCTTGTCTTGTTGCAGTGATGTCTGTAATAGTGATGATAGAGAAAAGGAGGATGTCCTGGAGGAGGAGGGTGATGTGGTCCATGATGGGGAGGAGGAGGATGTTGGTGATGTGGCCCGTGAGGAGGGGGAGGACAGTGTGGTCCATGATGGGGGGGAGGGTGGTGGTCATGTGGTCCGTGAGGATGGGGAGGAGGACAATGTGGTCCATGATGGGGTGGAGGATGGTGGTGATGTGGTCCATGAGGAGGGGGGGGAGGACAATGTGGTCCATGATGGGGAGGAGGATGGTGGTGATGTGGTCCATGAGGAGGGGGAGGAGGACAGTGGGGTCCGTGATGGGGAGGAGGATGGTGGTGATGTGGTCCGTGAGGAGGGGGAGGAGGACAATGTGGTCCGTGATGGGGAGGAGGATGGTGGTGATGTGGTCCGTGAGGAGGGGGAGGAGGACAGTGTGGTCCATGATGGGGAGGAGGATGGTGGTGATGTGGTCCGTGAGGAGGAGGAGGAGGACCGTGTGGTCCATGCTGGGGACCAAGAGGAGGATTATGTGTTTCATCATGGGGAGGTGGAGGAGAAGGGAGATGAAGAATTTTTTCCTCTTGGGAAGGAGGAGGGTGATGTGGTTCATCAAGAGGAGAAGGAGCAGAAGGAGAATGTTGTGGTTCCTCTTGGGGAGGAGGATGTGGTCCATGATGGGGAGGAGGAGGATGGTGGTGATGTGGTCCATGAGGAGGGGGAGGAGGACAGTGTGGTCCATGATGGGGAGGAGGATGGTGGTGATGTGGTCCATGAGGAGGGGGAGGAGGACAGTGGGATCCATGATGGGGAGGAGGATGGTGGTGATGTGGTCCCTGAGGAGGAGGTGGAGGACAATGGTGTGGAGGGTGAGGGTGGTGATGTGGTCCAGTGTTGGGGAGAGGAGGAGGAGCAGTTTCTTCATGTCCATCTTGACGTTCTTCATTGAAACTATGGTTATGGTCAGGGTCTTCAGGTCTGGATTGAGAAGAGGGTGGACATCCATGCCTGTGATGATGTCTGTGACCAAAATGATGATGGGGATGTCTGTGTGGCTGTCCCAGAGCTGAATATTTGCATCTTTGCCCGTAGTCATACAGCTGTTTATAAAAACACCAGGGGAGGAAGTATTAAGTAAGATGTAAATAGGACAGAAGAAAGTGGTGAGAAAGAGAGGCAAGTGGGAGTTAGTAGGTTTGCATTTATAGTTCGAGTGATATGTAAGGAAAAAAAACCTGTGTTTTTTTCAAGATAGAAGAGAAGGGGTAGATGATAAAATGCCACATTACTGAAAATCTTCTGCAGATGCTACACCATAACAAAATGAAAGGATATAACCAACTGAGCAAAATTTGTGATGGATTGAAACAAAATAAAACCAGCACTGGAGCAGCTGTTGTAATAAACTGGAATACCAAATATGATAAAGATCATCTCCCCTGCCCTTGCTTTCTAGAATTCTTTTGAGCTTGTTTGCCAGTCTCTACTCACTTTAACTAAGAACTGTGACTGGACTGAGAGAAGACACCCTTGGAGGGGTACAGCTAGTCAGGTCCCCCCTAGTAGGGACAGATCAATTCTAATTCATGCTCTGGTTGTCCTAGTAGTCAAAAGCCAGTCTGACCTGACATGCTGCATCACACCCAGGCAGTAATAAAGGGACATAAACAACTGCTGCAATCATCTGTCAGTCTGGACTAAGTCAGGTTGCTGTAGTCTGCATGAAGATACAGCCAGCGACTTTTCAGTAAGTGAGTACTTACCCAGGGATGGTAGATTTCACAGCTTATATCTGTTCCATCAGGTTCATCTGAATCACTGATAATTCTTGCCTTGCAGAATCCCACGTGCTAAGCAAAAGAAAAGAAAAAAACCCAATGCACTTCTGGGTTCTTGTGATGGAGTTAATAGAAGCTACTGAAAGTTCAACATTTTAAAAGTTAGGCTAGTTCCTTTGATACCTAAGTATATCTACATAACATAGCTTGATCCTGAGCTTTCTGACCAGTAATATTTGCCAATGATTAATAATGATTAAAATAAATGCCATTTTTGAGTGTTCTTGACTGTGAAGACCACTTTGTCATATACATCTAGAGGGCTACTACTCTCCATCTTACTTCTCTTTTGATGTCTGTAAGAAATTGGTCAGCTACTGATGCCTCCAAAATGAGTACCCTGTGGGGGACTGATTTTTGTTTCTTTTTTTCTGCCTTTGCTTGTCAAACATTTGTTCAGATTGGGCTATTCTGCAATGTTGCTCAAAGTCCTCAAAAACAGACACTGCGTAACTATGCTGTTTCAGACAAAGCTCGAGGTAGAGCTTTCTCCCGTATTTATCTTTTGAGAAGCAGTTTGTTATAATCTTTTAGCATTATTTCCCTTCCTGTTTGCTGTGACTTTCACCTGCTGCCCAGTTGTTGTGTGTGGAATTGATCATGTGAAAGAGCACAGAACTCGGGTAAGGGGTTCTGTGTATGCTCTCTGTAGTGGATGCTTTATCTTGATGTATGTTTGGGCCATTTATAGCCTACTATGACTAACGATTACAAATGTTAACAGCGTTTTACACACAGACACACCAGTGGTGGCAGCACTGAGAACAGAACTCAAAACATCCAGGCACCTGGCCTGTGCTTCATTCTGGTGAACTTTTGGCTCCTCTACCAGTTCATTCACAACCTTTTCCAGTCTTCTGGAATATAAACAGCAAGAGAAGAAGATGGATGTAGATAAAGCAGCCGTTCTAAATGTTTTAATTTTTTCCATATTTGTATTTCATTCCGTTCATTTAATTTTGGGGGAATAATTTATTCTGAAATGATGATCTTGACTAGTTGTTTCTTTGGTGTAGACTATTATTGTAATGGGAAGGTGGAGTGAGGAGAGTACTTTGACAGTAATGTGCAGACAAGCCTGAATTATTCCTCTCTCCACTCTCCTGCAGCAGAGGGAAAAAAAGTAACCCTGGGCTCACTGGGATGACAGAATACATATATTTTTTTCCAGATCTGTGACTCATGTTAGTGTAAAGATTTTAATGAAAATAGCACAAATTATTTACTAGGGAATAGCCACAATTTGAATGTGAAAGCCAGATCCAAACCGAAAAGCTCAGCTCTAGGTCTGTAATATGCCAGACTCCAGTTACATTTACGACCGAGAGTTCAGATTGGCTCATTACAGAGTACAAAGGAGCAGCTGTAAAATTAGGATCTGGACTTGAACATGCTGGATTTTTAGTTTCACGTTTGAGTGCTTGCTTGGAAGAAACGCTTGGGAGTATTGTGGGAGGATCATCCTGGTGCCACCTATTGTATCAGTTCTCATTCCAAGACTTTACTTACAGCGTGCCAGTCATCCAGAAAATCACATTCCAGTGCTTGTTCTTCTTGCTGTGCAGGTTTGGAACAGTTGGTCTCTTTTATAGAGAATCCTAAAATGTGACCTTCACGGGAGGCAGTCTGAAACCAAGAGGTCAAACAAGAAGTGGTAACCAGGTGTATTTAAAGTCTAATAATTTTAGAAGCAACTATACTTCATATTGTTGTCAAAATCCTCTCTACCTCATGCTTTCATTACCTGTGCTGTTCAAATGTTCATATATATGCATATTCAGTAAGGAAGATAGATTAAATAATTTATACCTTACTTGCCTCACACCTTTATGAGTTCCTGGAATGGTTGCTTTATTTCTTTGTCTAGTGTGTGTATGCTATAAAACCTGTTACTTTTACAACCTGTGTTTTTAGGAAGTAGCATTCTTAGAGTCTTCTCCCTAACTTGAACAGCTGTTTCTGTGAAAATACAGAGATCTACGGGATGGCAACCACCCCTTTCCAGTGATGGGAATGTGTAGTGCTACAGTGCTCATGTTAATTTGGGATGAAATTCTGCCAGTGACTGTGAGATTGTTGCTTTCTCTGTTGTCAGTAGCATTATTCATAGAGAAGGCATTACTCAATAAGAACATGGAGAAGGCCTCCATAAAGAGGTGTTTCATTTTAATTACCAACTGTAGTAGTATTCTACTTCGAGTCTGTGTTGAAGGTGTGCATAGCATGTGTGTGCACACAAGTTTCAGTAGTTTAACTAAATTGGTTAAAAGTGGATGCACATACTTTATGGTATGTTTTTCTATCGTAATTCATAGTTTCTAAGTGTTATGCAGTCTGTTGAAAGCCAGTGGTACAATCTGAATTGTCACTGTAGCTAAAGACGGCAAAGTGTGAAGACAAAGCATTCAGGGAGAAGCCCATGAATCCAGGCAATGTGAAAATGATTTTGGAGCTGCTCACAAAATTTTGTCATTTATAAGTAGTTCTAGGGCAAAGTACCACTTACCATCTTTAAAATCTTTTCAACTTTGTCCACATTGAAGTAGTTCGTGTGGTTACCCTCACTGTTGAATTTCTCCAGGGCCTTTGCAGCAATACTTTTATGTTGCTCGGTGACTTCTAAGACTTCAACTTTTACAGGACAATCTTTGCACTCTAATAAATCAGGTGGAACTGTGAAAACAGAGAGTTTACTAATATTGCAATGGATATTAACACTTCTGTGAGTGTGCATGTGCCTTTAATGTGAACTCCTAATGAAAAACTCAAATGCAAGTGTTTCCTTGGAAGTGAAATACTTATCACTCACTCCACAAATACAGAATCGCAGAATCACAGAATCACAGAATAGTAGGGGTTGGAAGGGACCTCTGTGGGTCATCTAGTCCAACCCCCCTGCCGAAGCAGGGTCACCTACAGCAGGCTGCACAGGACCTTGTCCAGGCAGGTCTTGAATATCTCCAGAGAAGGAGACTCCACAACCTCCCTGGGCAGCCTGTTCCAGTGCTCCGTCACCCTCAGAGGGAAGAAGTTCTTCCTCATGTTCAGACGGAACTTCCTGTGCCTCAGTTTGTGCCCAAATACAAGTTTGTTCTGTACTGTGAAAAAACTCCAAACCTCTGAAAATGAATATTCTTATAAGTCTTTTAGCTCTACCTTGGAATCTTACCAGGCCAAACGGGCATTCTTTCCCAGTTTACTTTTTTCCTGATATTCATTATCATGTTTTGGTGGACTGGAATGATGATATCATCTGAGATTAATAAAGTCTGCTTTAGAAGAGTAGGGTAACCTTAATTCTATTACTCATTCTTAACATTCCATTTGAATTATCTATAATACGAATTGCAAGCAGATGAATGAATCTGTTACGGTTACCATACACTAGTAGTGCACAGACTTGTAATTTGGTGCTAGGGCTGGTTTGAGGTATGCCTTGGCTTACAACAGTGGTTATTTTACCTGGACTTAATGTACAATTAAATCCATACAGTTGAGGTTTCTTCAGCAGGTGGCTTGTGATAATCTTACATTGCCCAAAGTCCTGAGAGGAAAAAAGAATACGTGATTATGATGTTATTTTCACTGGATTTAATTAGATGTAAGTGATCATAGAAATTACGCCTCCTTTTAATGTACAGTACTTCTAAGAATAACAGGTGTGGTCGTTAACGGAATGTTTGATCTGGTACCACTCAAAATTTGTGTTCAGATGAAATGGGATCTCCCTTTACAAAAGCCTTTATTTTAATTATGAGTTTGCACAACTGAGTAGACAGTGGAAAACTAAACCAGCCTTCTCAGTCATTCAAATACTTATTTGCAGTAAGATAATAGTAGCTAGCAGGTGAAGTTAGGATGCCAGAGATTTGCAAAGTGACATAAAACTTTACCAAAAAGTGGATGGACCTTTTCTCTTATTCCTTTCCCCCATCCTAATAAAAAGAGTAAATGCCTTCTCTTCTCTTCTCTCCTCATGGCCTTCCTGCTTTGTCCTGTGTGGCAGTAGCACCACTCTCCTATTTAAATAAAGTTTTGGACTGCTAGTTCTCATCCCAGACTACATCACTGAACTGCAACAATAAAGGACAAGTACTGCTACATATCATATGTGCACTGACACTACCAATATTTCACATTGTCATACCACAAATGCTATGACAGAAAACTGGCAAAATAGAACACTGGTATTTCTGGCTAACATACAAGGAACACGCTTTAAAACACAATTTCTAGTCCTCTTTCATTGTCAGCAAATTATTCTTAAGACATTGCTACTGTTACTATCAGTGGAATGCAGAGTATAGCTCCTTTGAGACAACTAAGTATATAAAGCTGCACTTATTTAAGGAGTCAACCCTTTTCCAAACTTTTAGCTTATGTTTAAGAACCCTAGAATTTAATAGATTTTATTTAATAGTGAGCCATAGCAAAGCCTATTCTTCACTTAGATATCTTGTGACACAGAAATTTCTGGGAAGCTCAGATGAAGATCAAGTTAATGCATTATTGACATATGATTCTGCCTGGGTGCCATTACTTGCCATGGAATAGATGTCACTGTATTCACAAGACCTCCAGTGTCTCCTGGATAATACGGGGCATTCAGTTTCCACCACGTCCAAAGTTAAGTAGAGGACTGATGAATTTCCCTGGAAGAGAAATGCAGGTAAAAAACCATTTATATACAAGAAGTTTGGTCTGAAAGAAACTTTTTTGAAGTAGATATGTTTAAAGTAACTTCACCGGTTCCCTATTAAGTTTTTTCTGAGCTGACAAGCATAGAAAGGGTTTAGGCTGGAAGGGACCTTTGGAGGTCATCTTGTCCAGCCACTTGCTCAAGGCAAATCTAACTTCAAAATTAGATTCAGCTGAGTTCTATATATCACCAAGACAGATGTTCGTCAACCTCTTTGGGCCATTCCAGTACTTAACCACTTTCTCCACGATTTTTTTTTTGGCCTGACATCTAGTCAGAATTTCCCTTCCTGCGACTTACCACTGTTGCCTCTTATCCTTTTGTTGAGAAACTGGGAGAAGAGTCTGTTGTTAACCCGCATCCGTCAAGTAGGGAAAATGCCAATGTGTAAAATTTTCCACTTCTTCTTCCTGATTTTCCCGTAGAAGATACTGGTCTATTAGGAAAGCAGTTTTCTAGACAGCCAATTGTATGTCTACATCCATTTCAAATGACTGTAGTGACCAGATACTCTTTCAGAACTTTACTTCCTGCTCAGTTTATTGAGGGAGTAATGCAACAAAGCTGTAATAATCCTTACAAAGTCAGGAGCCTTAGCTCTGAAATTCTGCTGTACTTTCTGTCTCCTGAGCAAATCAGATAAAGAATCAGAATTTGAATTTGGCTACCAGTGTAATGGGGTGTGGTGTTAAGAATTATCTGTGGCCCACAGAAACAGTTTTGTATTTTTCTGCAGGAAAATAAATCTCAATTTACGTTTGGAATTGATTATTTAAACCTAATGCAACCCCTGTATAGACATTCAGAACGAACACAGACTTGTTTTATTTTGCATCTAGATAAAACGATGCAAAGCCCTTCACTGTGAATAAGTGTCCTCAGGCTTTATGACATTTCCTTCATTCAGATTCGTTTTTCAGGGTATTTCTGTATAGACGAGACCTTGAGAAAGAATTACTGCAGTCTAGTGTAGTATTTTTGTTAGTGAGAGTCCACCAGTGTCATGTTAAACACTAGTTTTGCAGTATGCGTATGTCTTAGCATCGTCTCTCTTTTTTCAAACAGGGGCTAGGTGATTTGCAGAAAGACACATGTTATTCAACGGCAGAATCAGGAAAAGAATATAGTTGTCCTTGACACCCATCCTGCCCACTAGCCACATGATTATTCTCTGTTTAGGGGTAGTTAGCATTTCTATTTTATTTTATAAATCACAAAACTTCAAGCTGCTAGTCAACATATTAGTAAAATGCAGACAGAGAAGAGAACAGAGACAGTGAAAAAGACTTTTTTTTTCTAATTTGTATTTATGAAATTGCACTGAATTGAAAGGTAAGATAGGTAAGATAGTCTTTTGTAAAATGTGCTATGCATTAGGAGTCCTCTAAAACTGAAATTGCTAAATACATTCACTTTGTCATCCGAGCTTGTGAAATGCTAAAGAAGCCAGTTCATTCCTGGCAAATATTTGTTTTCTTCAGCAGAGTGCATTTGGATTCAGTAAAGCCTAAAGCAGAGCTTGGGTGAAATTAAGTGTCTACATCCAAATATGCAGTAGAAAATTCCTCTGTTCATCTGCTGGATAGCTCTTGGAAAAAAAATTACCATGAGATAATGGTGCCTTCTTGCTTGTTTTAAAAGCATCTTAGGCACCAGAGTTCTGCACTACACAAGCCCAGAACTGTTCTAATGTGAATACCAGTGTATCTTACACTTGCAGAACTCCCATGTAAACCCAGTAGAGAATTGCTCTGCTTAAGTTTCGCAGGGGGTTAATGTGATAGCCTTGATGCACACTGTTGCATGGAGACAATTGAAATAATGTTCTGGTCTGTTTTGGGGTTTTTTTTAATTCTTTTTTTAGGGGCATCTTGGAAGTGGAGCCAACATAACTTCTTGCACAATAGTGTACGTAAGCAGTACGCAGGAGACCACACCTAGTGGCTTTGAGTCTGAGAATGTGCAGAGACCTTACAGGGAGAATTCTTTAGCAGTAAGATGTATATAAGAGTCTTTTCTGTTCTTGTAGACTCTGTGTGATGGCTGAAGCTGTGGCCCTGGACTGCAAGGACAGCAAAATTCATTCAGGGTACAAAGTAAAACATAAGCATGGTAGTCTAGTGGTTATAGCATTCATCTGGAAGTGTGGATCCTCAGGTCTGGTCCCTATTCCAAGTTATGGTTCTATAGTTTATATAGTCAATAATTGGTTAAAATGTAGAAACACTGAGATTTTTCTTTGTGGGAACAACTATGGGTTTTCTCATTCACCCAATGAATTTTGCATGTCTTACTGCCCAGTGGCTCCACTTCACAGGGGTGGCACACGCACACCTGCATGGCAGCAACATTCTTCAAGGACGGGAGACCTGAGGGTTTAAATCTCTTGATGCTGAAGAAGACTGACTGCTTCCAAGATAAGCTATTTACCTACCTGGCTATTGCGTAAAACCCAACAGTATCACTTGCCACATCCTTATAATTGAAAAGCAAAATAATCCACCGGGTTTTTTGAAATTCTGCCTGAAGACCTGTAGGAATCTAGGCTTTGGGTCTCTATCTGGGCTTTTTCTTGTCGTAAAAGGCAGTCTTAAGCATCTCTGCCAAAAACTATCCTGTTTATTTCAGTTGCCATACTGAGATGTGTAATGCGCTTCTTGAACAGTTTATATGTACCTGGATTCTAGTTTCATAGCCAAGCAGCTAAAAGGTAGCCAGGTGCGTTAGTAAATCTGCATGTCCTTGGTCTCTTTTATCTACTAGTCAAAGAAATTCTGTATTCTATTGCTTTTGTCTACTGTTGATTTGCTGTGGTGTTTAGGCAGTCACTGAGAAAGGCTTATGTATACTCTCTAGGAAACAGAAATAGAAACAGGAAGGAAACAGGAAATGACTGATAGGGATTCTCTATCCAGCCCTTCTCCTGTTTTGCAGGGTGGTATTTTCACCTCCTTTGGCTTCCTCTGCCTTTTCCTTTCCCTCCAGTTATCCAGCTATCTCCAAAATTAAGATGATAACAAAATACCAATCTTGCAGGATACATTGATCTAATTGATGTTAGACAGTCACAGATTAAAGAAACCCTCTGAATAAACTTTGAACATAACATCTGAGACCTGACAACAGACAGGACAAACTGATGTCTGGTGTTGTATAAAGCTGTTCAGAGTGTCTCTTACGCTAACATCCTGTCAGCTAAGGGAATAGAGGGCATTCAGCATCGTTCAAAATCCAGCTTATGTACAATAAATCATGCACAAATGAATACTGATAGTGTAAATCAGAGCTGATTCATTGAATTACATCAGCATTGCTGTATTAAAAGCAATAAACATAAGCTTTTAATGATCTTTTAATGATATTTTAAAATCACAGTCTCGTGTAAATCAGGCTTTAAATTGATACTTACTATATGTAGTTCGTGTGCATCAGCAACCCGGAATAAACCAAAAACGTAGCCATCTCTGCGATGTCTGTTGACCAAATCCAGGGCCGCTCCTGCATATCTTTCAATGGCATTACAGTCTGCAGGAGTAATGCTTGTTTTGTTTTGGGCATTAGAGCACTGAAGTAGTGTTAGAAAAAAAGCTGAAGCTAGAAGCAGCATTTTGTTTGCGGTATTAGGTCACTTCTGCTCATGCTCTGATAGTCTGGTTGTAAATCAGAGTAGCCCACCAAAGTTATAGATGAATGCTAACAAGGCATGGTTTTATATAAATTTAAGTGTTGTGTCAAAGAGCCATTACCTTGACCCTGGATTAACATTTTCAAACAGCAAGTAAATGATTATATAGTGATTGAGCAGATTTTGAGGAAAGTAGGCCTTATAATACTCTCTGGACTACCCATCAAAGGGATTATGTTTGTGATTGTTTAAGCAGGCATTGTGCAATAGTGTTTTACTGTGAAAAGTACTTAGCTTCTAGCAGCGTGCTGCTGAGCCTGGCATTAAGAAGATCCAGTTTATGTATGCAGGTATTAAGCAACCTTGGTTTTCTGTTTAGTGCAAAAACAGTTCAGCTGAAAATACACTGAAATATTTGTGGTCAAATGATGGCTATATCCATGTTCCTCTTTCTACAGATCCTTACCTAGCAGAGAACTAGTGAAATGGAAACAAGGAGATCACTCAGATTTGGAGAAGGGATGTAGCTCAAGGTGCCCTTGTAAGCTGGTGATCACAGAATCACAGAATGGTAGGGGTTGAAAGGGACCTCTGGGGATCACCTGGTCCAACCCCCCTGCCAAAGCAGGTTCACCTAGAGTGGGCTGCACAGGTCCTCATCCATGTGGGTTATGAATATCTCTGGAGAAGGAGACTCCACACCCTCCCTGGGCAGCCTGTTCCAGGACTCCGTCACCCTCAAAGTGAAGAAGCTCTTCCTCGTGTTCAGATGGAACTTCCTATGCTTCAGTTTGTGCCCATTGCCCCTTGTCCTGTCACTGGGCACCAATGAAAAGAGTCTGGCCCTGTCCTCTGTACGCCGCCCCTGAAGATATTTATAAGCATTTACAAGATCCCCTTTCAGCCTTCCTTTCTCCAGGCTGAACAAGCCCAGCTCCCTCAGCCTTTCTTCGTAGGAGAGATGCTCCAGTCCCCTAATCATCTTTGTAGTCCTCCTCTGGACTCTCTCCAGTAGTTCCCCATCTTTCTTGAAGTGGGGAGCCCAGAACTGGACGCAGTACTTCAGATGCAGCCTCACTAGGGCAGAGTAGAGTGGGAGGAGAACTTCCCTCGGCCTGCTGGCCACGCTCTTCTTAACGTATCTCAGGAGACCCATTGGCCTTCTTGGAAACAAGGACACACTGCTGGCTTATGGTCAACCTGGTCGTCCACCAGCACTTCCAGGTTCCTCTCCGCAGAGCTGCTTCCCAGCAGGTCAGCCCCGAGCCTGTACTGGTGCATGGGGTTGTTCCTCCCCAGGTGCAGGACCCTGCACTTGCCCTTGTTGAACTTCATCAGATTCCTCTCCGCCCAGCTCTCCAGCCTGTCCAGGTCTCACTGCATGGCAGCACAGCCTTCCGGTGTACCCAACACTCCTCCCAGTTTTCTACCGTCAGCAAAAGGCAGTAGGAAGCCAAAGGGTGTATCATCAGCAGAAGGTCCATAGTTTCTATGTGAGTACATGCTATCTTCCAACGGTGAGAAAATTTAGAGCAGACTCCTACCAGCTTTACGTCATTTCAAACTGGTACACAGAATGGGACTGACTAGCTTAATACAGATGTAATCTAGGCATGGCATGATGTGACATAAAGCTGCCTTTGCATTCTCAGTCTGAGCAGTTTTGTGTGCTCTTTGGCTGTAATAACCTTCATAGACTTCTTTAGAGAATTGCTGGTAATTTTTTTTTATTTATTAAAGTAATTCAGTACATACTAAGATTCATACTTTTCACAGAATATGCTGATATCTTTGGCTAAGCAGAAAGGTGAAGATGTTATCTCATTGCATTTGAAATATTTTATTCAGGATAGTTAAAGACATTTTTAAAAGGCAGTAGTCACTTCTCAGGGAGTGGCTCAAGTTTGAATACAAAATTCAAACTCTGAGTAAGAAAATACAAAAATTCAATGTGAGTCCAAAATGACAACATGAGATTCAGATGAGAAATTTGCCAAATCCTGGCTGGTGTGAAAGGTTGGACCAGCTTCTCGTAGAAAAAGGCGCTAGCTATATAATTGACTTGGATTTATATATTTGAAGTTTCTCTTTGACTTATTTTTGTGAGAAACGTTGAGAAATACAATGGGTAATCATCCTTAACCCTTACCTCATTTTATTAATCCTTATTTAAAAGAAATCCAACTTTTAGCATGCCTGGTGTCTGGGAAATCACATTTTAAAATGCATAGAACTGAAGCAGTGGCTTTCTTTTATAGTTACTTCAGGACACACTTAACAGTTCTCTGGTAGTAGATAAGCAAAATGGCGATTCTTACAATATTAGAACCGAGGGCGCTAAAAATTAGTGTGAATCAGTTTAAAAATGATAAAAATAGTCCCCACACAATCAGTAGTGAACTTCTGGAACCTGCTGCTGCAGAAAGATGTGGAGGCAGACAGTATCAGCAGAGTCAGAAATGGCTTAGAAAAGTTCATGGGCAGCAGGTCCTTAAGTGGATACTAGAAGGACTGAGCAGATAACTGTTCTTTTAAATCCCTAGTACAATGGTTCTGGGTACTGGAAAAGTATAAGGGGAATGGTTTGTGGAAAGGGTGGAGGTCGTATGTTTCTCCTAAGCACAGCTGTCTTTCACCACTGTGAGAGGTGAATACTGGGCTGGATGAACCACTGTTCTGATGCAGCAGGGCATTTTTTTGTTTATGTTTTTCTAATGTTTCTTACAATAATTCAGAATTTCTTCTGGAAGATTGAAAAAAGCAGTGAAATAAATGTTGTGTAAATAATCAAAGACATTTGAAATACACCTCATCAGTTAAAAATAATACTCACATCGTTACTGTGTTCCAAATCGCACCCCCATTCATTACTTACAATACTGTTTAATTTTTCAAATGGGCAGTCATATTGAAGAAATGCATCAGATTAGGTAATTTATAACATAATTCCCTTAGTCATCTATTGTTTGCAGTTTGTTTGTTCTTTTTTCTCCTTTTGTTCTGTGCTGTTCATTGTGACACCGATCATTTTCTTGACAGTGGCTTATGTATTTTTTATGTATGAAAAAGAAACAGTATGAATAAACACTAGAAAATTACAATTCCTGCAAAAATGACTGCAGAAGTAAAAGTAAGATTCTGTTCCCACTGTAGGGAGGTTTGTCCTTGATTTCTTTGGAAATTTATTATTGAAGTACAGCGTGGACAAGCAGTGCCCAGTTAATTAAATATTGGTTGTACCTGAGTCAGTATGATGTATTTTTACCATTTCTTATCCAGTTTGGTGTCAAATTTAATACTTATTTTGTTTTTATGTTTATTGCTTGTAAGTTTTGTGTGTTGTTTTAATTAAACTATTTCTATAAATAGAATGCTGGCAGGAATAGGAATATTTATCCAAACATGGCATTTCTCTTGACTAGCTTACCAAAAGCTTGATAATCTCTATGATTTTTAGCAAGGCTTGACTTGTAACAGTAAGAGGTGATCCACATTCAAACTTTAAGGAGTTGGTAACAAACATTCACCCTAAACCTCTCTCCAGAAATCTGGGAGAGCACACCAAAAAGTGGCTTATCTCCCCCACCTGAAAAAAAGGGTATCAAACGCTTAGTAAATAGAACTTTAGTATAGGGTGAAAAGAAAAAGAGACCTGACAAATAAAGGAGATAATATTCAATAACAAATTACTCCTTTCCTAAAGTGTAGCCATAACTATTTACATATATCTCTGATTTCTTGGGAGGACAACTTCTATGCTAGCTGATTGTTCTCTGCCTTCTGTAGTAGCTCTTCACTCCCAAGCTGGGACTGTCAAATTGCACAGCTCAGTCAATTATGCAGGTAGCAAGACCTTACCCATCTTGTAGCCTGTGCTGCTCTGGAGCTGCTGTTGTTTCTGCTCCTAAGCAAGAGCACAGCTAACAGAGACACGTGTGGCTCCAGTTGCTTATAGCATTTAATAGAAATGCCCCCAAGTATGATGGAAAAATATGTAAATGCATCATGTCTTCATGTCTCATTTTTATCTGCTGGGTGTAAACAGGGTGCCTTCTGATGCAAATGCAGTGTTATCCAAATTTGCTTTGGTTGTGGTCTTCAAAGCAGCAGCTGCAGCTATAGCTTCACCTCCCGCCTGCAGCTTATTTTTGTTTACCAGTCACCATGTTTTTATCAAACTTTTAGAAGCTTCATCACCTTGTATATCAAATTTCATTGAAACAGACCTTCAGTTCCAAAGCTATTTGGAGGAGACCAACTGTCCAATGAGCAGGTTGACAATTTAGTTTAAAAAGTCTCGTTGCTTAGGAAGCCTCAGGAACTAATACAGGGAATAAAAAGAGTGTCAGTATTCCTTGTCTGTTTCGCAGTCTCTTTGGCTGCAAATTGCCTTCTGGAAAAAAACACCCTAATTGTAAGTTGATGACCTGAAGGATATGTTGCAAGACTGAACTGCTTGCTGAGGGGCTTGAGGGGCTGGAGAAAAAGGTGGGGTTAAGAATTTGATGTCAAGAATCAGGTGCGAGGAAGTTCCAAAGGATTTGACCTTTTCAGGGCTTGTGGCATTATACAGTTCTTAAAATTTAAGCTTTCACTCATGCTTAGAAGTTGTAGTGGGTTAACATAAGGGAAGTATTGGCAACTGTTGTGATTGTATAGTATTTATGATTATATCTAGTGGGAGGTCTTTAAAATATACCCTTGAAAACAAAATAATTTATGTGTATTCTGAATACAGCTGCTTAATATGTATAATTTCAGAGATGCAGAATAAAATGTTTAACCATTAAGTGTGTACAATGTCAGACAAATAGAATTTATAATTAACTTGTATAAAAACCTTTTTTAAAACCCATGTTAAGAACTTTGATGTCTGCGCCTTGCTTTTTTAAATCTTTTTGATTGCTCAAGGATGAGTGTAGGAGAAGGGTAGCTGAAAAATCTGAACAAATGCATACCCTATATATATATATATAAATAAGCCAGCATATCTTATTCTGTACCCTTTGAATGTTACTACCCCTTTTTTTTTTGCATTCATGGTGCCTCACCTATATTCAGAGATAAAGGCTTGATAATACCCGGCAAAAACGTCAACAGTCCTGGAGGTCACTGACAATTGGTTATCTGTGCTTCAATAAGAAACATTCTCCATGTGAAATTGGAATGTTTGATCAAATAAACATCAGACCATATTTTAGCTGGACATTGCCCCGATAGCAAGTTAATAATGGATGATTTAATAACATAAGATCAATAAGAGTTGAAAAACAGTAAAACCAAATTGAAAAGTAAATTGGGAATTGTCTGCCAAAATCCACCCACTTCTCATCTCCAGTGGGTGGTTGGAGGGCTTCTGTGTGTTACTGGCCTGTTTTCTACTGGGAAAGGAGGAGCAGCGCTTCACAGTTCATGGTCCTGGGAAGAGAAGAGAGCATTTGGGCTGAAGGTGAAAGACCAGGCCAGAAGATGGAGGGGTTTGGCACTATCTGGGCATGTTTTTTAGAGTTTTTGCTGCAGTCCTGTCTGATCATGCTGTCGCACAGAGTAAATGTGTGGAGACCAGTTGCATTGCATCCTGCGCCCTGCTCTGTCCATGTGGGCATGTTGGAGGGAGAAAGCCGCAGTGCTGGCCCACTCACAGACTGGCATAAATCTGCTGAATCCACAACAGAATTTGAAGTAGTGATGACTAAGCATTACCAGCTGTTAATCATATCAATGCCATCTGGGAATGCAGTAGTACCCAGGTACATCCTGAGGACAAAGGAAACACCAAAACTGCACATCTTCAATCTCCTACTTGTTGTTTGAGAAATTAGTCTTGGATATTAGTACTAGGCCTGAATTATGGTAAACATTGGTAGTGGCCTAGGTGGCACTGAGAGCTGGGTACAGGGATCACTGTGCTGGAGTGGCCACTGCAAATTAAGGAAATGCCCATGAATCTGCATTGACCACTGGTGCTTGCTGATCTACACCGTAGATACAGTTCCCGCTTAAATAAACACCCCTTCTGGTGTTTATTTTTAAATCACAGAAGTCTTTGAACCCAAATCTCAGATCCAAACTAGAAAAAGTATTGATTCAAATGTCATTTCTGAGCCTCGTCTGCAGAACAGGCAAAACAATATCCATAATGAATGCTCAAAACTGGGGATACAGACTTTCAGATGTTCTCTTTAACTCCCCCTGTTTATTTTCACACCAACTCCACTCCACTTGCTGCTGTTCCTGTTCAATGTACGATTGTAAGCAGCTGTAGTCAAGAAAGAGAACTAACTGAAACAGAGTATTCTTGGCTGTGGCTAGCAGTTAATGCAGGTCATTGCTTCCCCAGTACTCCTGCTGCAGAAGAATCTGGTTACATGTGTTGATATAAATCTCAGTAGTGTCATCAGCCACAGTGAGGTTAGAATCAATATGCAAACAGTTCGTAAAATAGCAGAAGTGAGAAGTGTGGGGATGAACTGAAAAGAGGGGCAAAAAAAGCATTTCGAAAATCACTGAAGTGTGGCAGGCTCTTGCCCCGGTGCTCCTGCCCTCTGACTCCCTAAAGCCAGCGGTGCTGTGTGTGAGGGCATGGAGTGACGCCCGGTGTCCCTGATTTCGGCATGTGGCACATGAGCGGTTCCTGCGCAGGGAGGCAGAACGCACCGGTCGCATTAGGGAAACCTGAGCTGCCAAAGGTGAAATCTTCCCAGGGAAAAACAAGGCGCTGCAATTTGGTGACTTGCTAAAACAGGGAACACAGACACAGCCTAGAGCTCATACTGCGATAAGAATTGGATAGCATTTGAATTTTATGATTTTTGGAGAACTACCTGATTTTGAATTGTTTCTACTCTGATAAGAATGAAACCAAAATATGCTGAAATTTCTCACGATGTGGAATTGAAATGGAATTATTTTTGGCTCAGTTGATGTGTTTCACACATCACTTTTTGGCTTATTTTAATCTTTGAAGCAATTAAATTATTCCTTTATGTGAAATTTATGTTTTTAAGAGTTTTGCAAACTGAAAAAACAAACATATCTGTTGTGTAGATAACTCCATACAATATTTCAGTATTATTTTGTCTCCACTCAAAATAATACTTTCATTTTTATTTTATTTATAATAATAAAATAATACTTTTTAATCAAATTGTGTAATGCCAGAATACTTTAACAAAACCATAATTTTTTGTTGAAAGGCTCTTTGAATGGAGAAATTAGCCAACATCTCTAGGGATTATTCAGCAGCATAAAAGCTTCAGAAACAATAGTATTTTATTGATTTTGTGGTGAACAAATGATTTTACAGATCTGATGGCATCTAGAGAAACACTTTGTGGTCTCGTCTGAGCCCCAGAACTATTGCAAATTTCAGTCTAATCCTGGCCACAAATGACATTTCTTTCCCAGGTTCACTCTTTTTCTTCTTCTTGCCTTCTCATTTATTTATATTTGTTATTGTCAGTACAGTTGCTTTGTCTAGCTTTAGTGAAATTGATTTTTCATAGCTACAGGCTGTAGAGTGTCCCTGTGGTTTTTATTATAAGGTAGTTAATATGACCTATCTCAAGAAAGAATTAGGCTGATTTTGTAAATCATCATTTTTCCTGCACAGCAGGGTTGGTAACGCATAAGAATCTGAATAGCCTCGGCTTGATTCTCCACCAGCCAGAATTATGTGCAGACACTTCACACGTGGGTAGCCATTTCTACTTTGTTTATGTGAGGGTATAAAGCATTAGGAAAATGTAATCTTTCTTGAGATCTTCCACAGGAAATTAAAAAGTAGGCTAAGCTCATCACGTTATAATTAAGAAGTTAATCTGTAAAATAATAAAAAGCCACTAGCTTTTACTGCTGAGCGGCGTGGAAGTCCTCTTCCCCGTGCACACACCGTCACACCGGGTGTGACTCTGCAAGGGCGCTGAGAGCATTCCCTTGCCCGGAGGCTGGGCTGCGACGTGCAGAGCCGGCTCAGCGACAGCGCAGCTGGAGCTGCTCCCTTCCTCTCGGTAGACCCTGGGCACAGGCTCCGGACAGCACTGCGTGGGAGCTGGGTTTTTCCATAACCTGATGACTATCCCCGGGTCTGCCCTGCTCGCCTTGCTCGGGTGCCACGGGGCAGGCCCCTGCCCTGCCAGCCTGGTTATCACGCTCGGCTCTGTCTCCCCATCCACTGGGGACCAGTGCTGTGCCCTGACAGACGTTTGCTACTAAGGATATTTTTTCTGATGCCTTTGGGCTGTCTCAGCCCTACAAGTTCTTTTACCCTCCACAGCTACCTTTCCTTCATGCTCTTACTGTCGGGAGGAATTTGAGAAGTAAAAACCAAATTCTTTTGCTGGAAAATGCCCCAGTTAAATGTCTTTTTCTAATCTATTCTGATGCTTTCTTAAAACCAAGAACTCCAAAGATGAAGAATGGAATAAGCCATTTATTTAAAGATGTTACACAAATTGAAAGACCAGGTTGCCATTATGACAGTCATTTTCTTGCAGGTAGTTGAGGTGATTGGATGCTGGCTAGACTTCAGTAGGCTTTTTAGGCAGCAAAGGCTGGAGGATGTAATTTATTGCCTTTGCTTCTCCTGGGCAGGAGTCTGATAAAGAAAGGTCTTCAGGAAAAGAGAGAATAACTGGTCAAACCTCATTTGTCTACTTGAGTCTTCTCTCCATTAACACTGGTTGCAGATCCTACAGTCTCAAGGGGAACTGGCTTTCCATCTTTATGTTCATTTTGACATTCTGGTAGGTTTTGGAAAGAGATGTCCTCAGCTGAAGGGGGTAGAATTGTAACACAGCCCACTGTTTTTTCCAGTCTTGGGGAGAAAGTGTTGGTTTCTGAAGGGAAAACTTGATCATGCTGACTGGATTGTCCAGGCATCTGATTAGCTTGCTGTTTCGCCTCTTCAGCGGCAGGATCCTAAATAACAGGCAAGAAGCATTACCTACATTGAAGCGACTACAAATTTTTTCAAATATGACGAAGGTCAAATTTGGATATGCTGCAATTCTGGTCTGCGAAGTCCAGGTGCAGAGCAGAAACTCAAAGGATAGACAGATGGAACTATTTCTTGTGCCAGTGGAGATGGGTGCATGAATCTTGGGTAACTACACAGTTATTGCTCTTTGCATTCCCTTTGTTATTTACAATTTCTTTGTAGAGCTTTCTGAACACATTCTGTATGATTGACTCTACACTTATTCTATTGCCTTTTTATCCACCTAACAACAGTCTGGTTTATCACAAGAGAGATCTCTTTCTGATTTGTTCTTATCACTTTCTTGAAGCCCGTGTCTTTGTGAATAAGAAAACTTAAAAATGGCTTGGCTTTCAAGAGTTCAATTCTTGTTTTGTAAAGGCGTATTACCCTTGCAATATTAAGATCAGATTAAGAAATATCTGCAGACTGTAGATTTCACAGGATATTGTGACAAACTCTTCGTGTTCCAAGTGGCTGTTTACTACAGAGCCTTTGCAGAATCCGATTTGCTGGAAGAAGAAAATGCAAGCATTTTTGCACATTGTAGTACTGATGCTTAGCTCCTGTCTTGTAAAATAAGTGATTATGAAATGCTGAATAGTTATAGCTTCTACATGTATTTGTAGGGATAAGCGGCTTGGGCAAACTTTTATTTTGGGATTGGCAAGCTTACAAAGGGAGGCAGCATTTGCAAAAGGCTTTATGTTGTAAAGGAGGGTTAGGTAACACGATAGTAAAAATAAGCTGGCCACTTAAGGCCAAACTATGACAGCACGCTTCAGTTCTACTGCAGCAGAATATCCCCATGCAGGCAAGCTGTGTAATAGAACATAACGTCATTTTTCAGGCAAAAACAATTTCATACCATACTAGTGAAAGAAACCATGAAAAAATGTTGTTTCTAGTAGTTGTGTTTTTACTGGGCCGTAGGTAACATGGCTCGTATCTCAATTAAAATGGGGTTTGAAAGGTTCTCTCTTGGCAGCATGCCTGTTTAGTCTTTCAGGTTCTGTTATAATTTTTTCCTTAGTTCATGAGTGTTTTCCTTAGCTGACCTGATTGTAGTATGAATATACTCTTTATGCATTGTTTGTGATTTGTTGTCAATGTCTGATAACTGGGAAGAAATCCGCAAGAATTATTCAGTTTTATAAGGCGATGGTTACTCCACCTTTTTCTGGATGGTATTTTTTTCTCTTTTCTTTATTCATGGACTTCTGGATTAGTATTCAGAACTTTTACTGAAATGTTTTCTCTGTTCTAAAGCAGTTTGTACAGTTGCAAGACAGTAGAGTGCTACAACCCATAAAGGGACGCCTGTGGGCTTTGATTCATGTCTGCAAAGAACCAAAGGGATAGGCTAAGTATTCACTGAGGAATTGTAGCATCTGAAAAACAGGTACAATACAAATACAAGGAAAAGTACTTACAGCTGATTCCGATGAAAGTGGCTTGCACTTAGAGATGTCAGCAATCATGCCATTTTTGGAGCAGGATGTTTCCTGAATTAAAAACTCTAAAAAATACGCAGGACCAACAACCCACTGTTAATGAAGGACCAGCGGCAATTAGACCTTGTGCATGTGTCAGGAAGAAGGAAGAATCCTACAGACCTTGAAATAGATGTAAAACTCCTGCTAAGTGTGTAAGGAGCAGGTTATATTTGGGGCATTACTGTTAACTGTATTCCAGGAGAAGGATTTTTTTACCAGTGCTGCCTGATTGCCTGGTTATTTTTTACTTCTGATGTTTGCACAATCCTAGTAAATCATGGATTAGCTATAGTAGAAAAGAGTTTGGTTTTTGTAATGAGTCAGCATCCACATAGACCTTCATAGCCAAAGACCCTCTTCAGTGCCTGGTTGATCATTTCTGGCTGCTTTAAAGAACAGGATCACTTTTTCTGTTTCTGAGTTGCAAATACTTCAGGGCTGGAAGATGGGAGCGATTAAATACTGTATTGTAGTAATATCTAACCATTTGAGACAAGAGTGGAAACCACCTTGTTATCTATACATAATAAATTTTAAAGAGACCAGATATTACCGTGGTAAATAAACAGGATTTAGCCAGGAGATCATTAACTCTCTGTTAGTCTAAAATTAGTTTTAAACCGTGTTTAAACTGATTCAGTGAATTACAGGTATTATGTGTTGGAAGGGATGACTGTGCTGTATTAAATACTTTTTATTAGGGAGTCACTAATTCATGGTGGTGGTAGAAGAAAGAGCTCACAGTGAAGATTTCCTAAACTTTGAAACGCAAATCTCTGTCTTGAATTTTGCATAAAGCCCTTCTTCTTGCAATAGATGGAGTCAAAATCTTGGATCAATGCAGGTCCTAATTTCTCAGGAGAATTCTGCATAGAAGTACTCTCTGTACTATACAGATACAAATTCTAAACAATTTCTAAGACATAACAGATCATAGAAAGTGTAATAGGTGGTTCCATAGTTCTTGAGGGCTAAAGCAAGTCAGATGAGCCTTGGCTTACCTGCATTGAAGCTCTTGTGACCTTGAGGACAGAGAAATAAGGAGTTTGTTCGCTCTCTGCAGTGAACTTGGCAAGGCTTTGAACAGCAGCCTCCAAATATTCGGGCTTAGTCGGACAGTCAACTGGGCAGTCAGGACATACTGTCCAAATATATCTGTGTGGAACTTTTTATTCAAACAATGTCATTAGAGGAAGCACAACCATAAAAAAGAATGTCGATAATGTAGGTCATTGTAAATTCATCTATGCCCCCAGCCCTACCCATTTGTCCTCCAGTCCCCTGGAATAACAATATGTGGTTTTATTCGCTCAACGATTTTGAATCTTTATAAATTTGCAGACTCATAAAAATGTTGCAGTGGAGGCAGAGACACTACAGAAAACAGCTCAGCCTACTGACAGCAGGCTTGCTGGTTTTACTTGCCTCTGACAAACCCATAAAGATGCCTTTTGGATCAGAGGGTAGAAGCCCGTATAGAGGCTCTGCTGGGTTTCCCAGAGATGAACACAGTTATTACTGCAGTGCTTTGAGCTGCAGGACCACACTAGACTTATGATCACTGATTTGAGAAAATTAGGGCAGCTGAAAGCTAATGGAGACGCTGTGGTGCCATAATTACAATTAAAATTTAAAGTAATGCTATACGGCAAAGAGTGTTTTTCCAGTCCTCTTTTAAAGTCAGTGTGTTAAATAAAGACATACCTGGTTGTAAAGTGCACTCATAAGTATTCAGATGAGCAATATTTCTTGCCTGATTAATGTAGATAATTGCTTTGCATTGACCATAAACCTAACACAATATAAACATTTAGAAACAATTAATGTTGCACCCTTTGCACTGATCATGTAGTGCCTAGAGTGAGCGGTTCCTTTTCTCCCTGCAGTCATGAAATTCTTTTCAAAATAAAAGTTGTATTCATACTCAAATGGCAATGAGGCACATTTCTAAGTATCTCCTTTAGAAACAACAGGCCAGGTCTTCCCCCAGTGTGATTCTGAGCTGTAGAGGTGCAGTGCTTGTCTGCAGGATAGCCTACACAAGGCCCCTCTTCTGGCAGCTAAGAATTGCCCAAGTGTCACAAAGTGCTTTCCCTCGCTGGACCCTGCACCAGGAGCTGGGTTGGTTTCTAGAACCTGGAGAGCTTAAACCTGGAGATCAGCTCAGAATGTCAGGATCCAGCCACGTGTCTGCCAGCTTCCCGCTGTTCCCAACATCCACAGTAAGGAAGGAGAGTGGTAGGAAAGACCCTAAATCAGTTTTGTGCAGTAAGATTACCTTTGCACACAAAGAAACTCTGACTTTATGGCAGAAAAAAATACTGGCATATTAAAATCCATTGTGCCTTTATGTTTAAAAGTTGAATGTATATTCTCTGAGTGCTTCTTAAATATTGCCACATGTATAGTCAAGGCCCCTAGGACATACATTTGTTGACTTCACAGAAGCCATATCAACCTTATATTCTTTGCACCTTTTTCCCGCTGAAAGTTCTGTGAGCAGAATTGAGCAGAATTCTTTTTTATTTTTCCCAGTTTTTCATTTAAAAAAGAAAACTGAGTAACCTAAGAAGCAGCCCAGGACGATTTAATCATAACTTCTTTTTTTGTTCACATGAAGCTTCTTTCTTGCCATTCTTCATTTATAAGACTTTTTTTTTTCACTTTTTCAGAATCGTTTTCATCACCTGTAGGAACAGTCTTCGATCACTTTCTGTCTTTGCAGGTTATCTTGCTGAGCTTCCTTTTTTCTCCTCTTTCAGTGCATTTTTTGCAAAGTTGTCGGTATAAAAGTGGAATTAAACTAAACCAAAAATCACACGTTATATAAAAATGAATTTCTTTCATTCCCTTCTTGACAGGCTGTCTTAAAAATAAGTTCTTACAGGGTTGCTATAAAAAGTAAACCATTTATTCTAAATAGTGTCCCAGCATGGCTATTTAGTTATGTCTGCTTGTTAGCTCTGGTCAAAAACTTTCCTTTAATTTTCATTTTTTAAAATAAATCTTACCAGTCTATAAACTGATCAGAAAGTACAGAGGAAAACTGTGGACCTTAAAAAATGGATTTGATTTCTTCTAAGCTCTGCTGCCTACTAAAAATGCCTGTGTAGGGATTTTGCTGTCATCAGTAGTACCTGAGTAACTCATCATATTTGAGATTAAATAAGAAAATAAAATCCTTACAATTGTATGAGCAAATCTGGCCATACAGTTCTTCCACAACTTTTTGCTGAATACATGACATTCAGTATCTACTATATCCAAGATTAGATAGAATACAGAACCAGTGATCTTCTGAAAACAAAAAAGAAAGGGTCATATCCCAGTTGTGTAAAGAACAAAGTGGGGATACATAAAAGGGAGAGATGGAGAAACACAAAACACACAGGTGGGACACATAGATAACTTGAAAATTGAACATTCTGTGGGACAAATTCTCAACGGTGGCAAATCCAGTAAGATTCAGGCCCTGTTAGAACAGGCTTGGTCGTGTGTCTGGCCAGCTTTAATTAAAGCACAGCCTTTTAGAGTCAGTTTTATCCTTCTGATTCTGGTACCAACCAGAAACCAAGAGTAAGGACTAAACATGGTGATGTTTTCATCGTCAACTGCATTTTATTACTGAATTTGAAAGGTAGGTTATTCTGCCTTCAGTAGGAATGAGATGATAAATATCACCAATAATAAAAAACTGCTAATGTGGAACATTCCCAGTAAACATTAGAAAGAGAAATATCTTATTTCTTCATGTCTCCTTCAAGTGTGGATGCTTTGCACTTGCCATAAAAAGGCAACGATTGCTTTGATGCAGACAAATATTCTCACAGATATCAGACAGTGCTATGAGAGACCTTGCATGCCTACATGGATGTCTCTGACGTACTTAAAGCTTCAGTCCAGTGCTTGAGTTCTGAGCCTGCACTGAAGTCCAGAAAACCTTTATTCCATTCACTGCAGCACAGGTGCACAAAGCAGTTAGGGCTCAACTTTTGGGCAAACATATTTCTATGCGGGAGGGACAGGGGAAGACTAAAAGTACAGGTCCATATATCTAGTGATTACACCATGTGGTACAGAAAGATGAGATGCTGGATGGTGCAGCTCCTGGTTCTGCTTCCACTGTAGGGATGGTTAAGCACCTTTCCAGGATATTTATCCAGGATACAGCTTAGTAGGATCATATTTTATTTTCTGTAGTGGAAAGCTGGAAAGAGAGCAGCTGTGATTTGTACATCCTAAAGAATTTAGATGTGAGTGTTAGCTGCATGTTTAGGCTGAGATTGTGTCTTTGCTGAGGAGGGAGGAAAAACGAAACTGAAGGAGAGCAGTATTCATTCATTCCTGGTTGATGTCACTGGTTTATAGAGAAAACACTTTACAGGGCAAGAGTCTTGTAGAAGTCTGGGGCCAATGTCTGTGCAATGTTGGCTTCGGTTTTGATTTCTATTTCATAGTGACTAAAGACCAGTCAATAGGGCATCTAAACGCTGGAGGACTGCTGGCTTTTTAGTTTTCATTCTGCTTGGAAAAACACTAGGATGTATTTATTATGGAGTTCTGAGGAGACCGAGTGATATAAACTATTCTGGTCACACAATTTAGAGATCTCTGGAAAGGGACTGGTATGGTGATATTATGTGAGCTCTACCATATATACTTGTAAATGTAATACTAAACCCTCTAAATATAAAAGAGAAAAATACATAGAAAATAAATATAAAGAATGAGTAAATGGTTTTGTCAGCTTTGTCTCTAACTTGTAATCTTACATATGCGACATCATGCTTTAAACATTTTTTTGTATTTTCATATCCTCTTTTTTTCCCTAAGTGTTCTATGAAGTAATCTGGTAATGCCTGACACTGAGCTTTCAGGGGTTACCCACACGAATCCTGAGGTTTAATTATGCGTCATTTTGAAGGCTGTGAAAAGATAAAAAGCTGTTTTGACAAAGAGTGAAGCTGAAGTGCAGCAGCACTGTGTACAGTGGCGTGGCACTATCCCCCCACTTGGCTGCACAGATCCTTCTGTGGAAGGAACTAATCATCATTTTCTGTTTACATACAAGGTGCCTAAATTCCATTATCAGGTGTCTCCTTAATATGATCACTAATATAGGTTAAATCAGTAAACAGAAAGTAAGATTGGTCAAAGAGTAATTGCCATTTGCTGAAAATGTGTTTTTTGGGTAGTGACGCATTGGATACAAGCTTGTAACTGTAAATATATCCTCTATGAGAAAAAACATCACTAAGACTGTCCTGCACGGAGAAGTAATAGCCAAGAAAAATGTGTATCTTTAAGGAGTACCAAAGTTGGGACTGGTGATTGGAGCTTTCAAGTTGGTTGCTCAGGTATTCTGGAGGCACAAACACACACATATCTCATTAAAGAAATGTTCTTCTAATCAAATGTGTTTGGTGTTAGCTGGATTTACTCAGCTGAATCATGAAGGCTGAGTCTAAGGATTGATGATCTTGGAACTACTAAATGCGACCAGGGCAGACCAAACTGTATTTCCTGTTACCTGTGGCTCTCTTCTATCATATCAGCCCTGATATGCAGATGAGGTTATTATAAAATCTAGACACCTTTTTGTCTGCCTGTTTCTGTATGTACCATCCTCCACTGGGGAAAGGATAATTCAGGGTTTATTCAGAGCTCAGCAGATCTCTGAAGGTTTCATTAGCCTTATTATAATTTTCAATAAAAAAACATTATGCAAAGGCCTTTTGATATCTGCTTAGTATTGAATAAAAACTTCTGTCTTTTCTGAATTGCCAAAAAGATCCGTTCCTGAGCACCAGTGATGCTAGGATTGCCGCTGCTGTGCATGCGAAGGAGCCTGGGAGCCTGAAGAGACGCGGCAGCAGCACGGCATCACCTTTGTGGCAGGCTGACCTGGTGCAAGGGAAAGAAATGCAGTATTTTGGCATGTTTTGTAAATTTGGTTAAGTGCCTGTCAGTGAAGTTAATTATCTGTATCTTGTATGAAAGAAAGGCTCTGTCCTACTCGCATGTAAGTTAATAGCAGGTGGCTCATTAGTTTCAGTTAGCGCAAAACTGAACCACAGGTTGCTTAAGGCCAAATTTGAATTTGAAGTAACTCTGGAAGTGTTTTTATCCTGAGTATTGGTTAAAAACTGGGAGGAAGAACCACCACTGACTGATAAGAAAAAAGATATCTCTGTTTTTTTGAGGGGAATAGAAGGTTGCATAAGGTTGTTACTGTCCCTGAACATCCCTGACATAGCTGACTGCTTCTTATGTGCTCAGTCCCAGCAGCAGCAAAAATGTGACAAAGGGCTTGGACTGTCTGGTTTGGTACTGCAGTGTCTTGAAACACCCTACTTACAGGATAAGCATATTAGGTGCAAAAAATAAGAATAAAAGTAAATTAAACCCCTAAATGAACAAAGAGCAAAGTAAGCAGTGTGTTCTAGTGGAAGGTTAGATGCCCATGGCGGGGGCGTTGGAGCTAGATGATCTTTAAGGTCCCTTCCAACCAAACCATTCTATGCCCCAAGGCAAGAAGTTAAGTCTCTAGGTAAGTGACAGACCAAGTCACAAACAAGGACCAAAATTCTCCTGTGCAGACATATACTTGGCACAGGTGAAAGGAGAAGCCGGGAGATGAATGAAGTGGTTTACAGCATGTCTGCACCCACCATGCTGCACTCTGGGGTAGTCATAGGGGTGCTCTAGTTATTGTCAGTAGGAAACAGCCCCAGGATGGGGGACTAAGTACCGAACTCCATGATTTGGCCAGAGAAGCTGTGGCTGCCACCTCCCTGGCAGTGATCAAGGCCAGGTTGGATGGAGCTCTGAGCAGCCTGGTCTAGTGGAAGATGTCCCTGCTCATAGCAGGGGGGTTGGAACTAGATGATCTTTAAGGTCCCTTCCAACCCAAACCATTCTGTGATTCTATGATTCTGTTGGTGGTGTGGGTTCTGGGGCAGCTTAGAGGCATTCCACATGCGAAAAAATTCTCAAGAGACCTGATCCAGTTGCTTAGTGGGCACATTCTGTCACCTGAGCAAAGCAAAATAGAGAACATAGCACAAAGCACAGCAAAGTGAGCATCTTTAGTCGTGAGATCTCAGATTGCTGGAGGCCACAGCATGTCTGCAGAAACTGTGTCCTTGTGAGAGCAGCAGGAATTAGTGTCAGATCCTTGCCAGTACAGTTCTGTAAACATCTGGCAATGAGCCTGACTTTCTTTAAGGGTTCAGAACTCGGCCTTTCAAGTAACATTATGGAAAGGGAGCAAGCATGGTGGGGAATAGTAGCACGCTTCTATGGTGCCTTATGTGTGCGGGCCTTGTGCACTCCTTTCAGGCTGTCCATGGCTAGTGCCAGTAGATCAGCTTTTGTAACACAGAATAGTAATAAATTAAGCACACATGGAGAAATAAGATACTTGAGGATATGAGAGTGATATTCCATAGGTGTTTCCAGTGTAATTTTTGCACTTGAGCTGGTTTCAGATTTCTTCTGGAAAATGAGTCGTCATTTAGAGGTCTGTGAAGGAATTCCCTGGTCCCAAGCTGGACGTGTTTACACCTGTTAGTGCTTACATCTTTTGTGCAAAGCACACAATGACTTAAGACTTAATAGCCTTTGCACTCCAACTGCTCAAGGCGGTGGGAGGAAGGTGTAAAATGAAATTAAATCAGAGTAGTGGTGTTTCATACCAAGTTTGAACTGATGCCTGGAGCTGTTCCAGGGGCAGGCAGCAGAGAATCGTGACTGAGATTTGCTCTCTAATTGCCCACAGAGGTGATGAAACTGTTCCTAGTCATCTGTGCATAAAGTTGACATGGCCTCTGGAGTTCTGTGAATGTAACTTTACATTTGCCTTTTGAAATATTTCTTAGTTCAAATAGATATTGCTAAGGAATAGTGATAGACACATGGCTCTTCATGGGAGAAACAGATACAGAACAGCAGGTAGCTTACCTGAGGATGTTCTCAAACATTGAAAATTCAGTAGAGACTGAGTATGTAGCCCTCTTCTTGGTCAGCAATGATCTGGTGAAGAGCCAGATCTGCAGCCTCCTCTACTGTAGTGTCATCACAGGTGGGGGAAAGCAGCACAGTCGGTGCTTCTCTGGCAGGAGGAGAGGCAGCCCAGGAGCAAAAAGCCTATATGCCAAAGAGCAATGAAACAAGTAAAACCATTCTGCTTAGAAAACCAGTGCAGCAGATCAGAATGGTAAGCCAGTATGGAGGGGCTGACCTGCATGAAATAGCAGGCTTTTGTAAAGGAGCTGTGTCTATAAACTTGTGCTCCCTTTTTATTACATACTGACCATCACCTTTAAACCTACAGCTGCAACAGCAAACACTATGTCAATGATTACAATGTTTTATGAAGTGTTGTTGCTCCCTCTGAGACCAGAGAGCACTTTCTCCTTCTGGCTTTACATCTATGATTCAAACTTCACTGGGCAGATCATATAACTTTGACCTCATTGCAGGGCACAAGAATATACACACAAAGCTGCTCTTTTAAGAAATCGGAATAGCTTAAATAAACCTACATGCAGGACAGGTCTGGCTCCATATCTGTTCTGTGGGTGATCCAGTTCTTCTCCCAAAGAAGACAATCACAAATTTCTCAGTAATTTGAATGGGAACTGGATAAGGGCCAGAAGGTTGACAGATTTTACGCTTTGTATTTGTTCAATGCTAATTGTAAACAAATGTACTGACTCTCTGTTATATGCGGTCAGTTTGGTTGGGATAAACCTCAGTTTGGATTCATTCTTTGAGGATTTCTGCTCAGTTGGATACCTACAGATGAATGTTGGCCCTTAGCCCTAGCCAAGCCAGCAAAATGCAGTTCATGTCTAGAGAAAAAGCCTGTTGATAAATGGCCTGCTCAAGCTGTTAAATACTCTTAGATAACACGATAACAAGGCAATGTAAAGAATTAACGGGGTCTGCTTATAAGCAGAAATTTCCATTGTGTTTATTTGGGACTTAACATTCATGGTAATTGAATATAGTAGCATAGATGTGGTAAGTTTTAGTTTTGCCCCAAAGACTTTACTTCTATTGGTGGGATGGTGCAAAATGAGTTTCTGTAAGAGGTTGGAGGAAATAGACAGTAAGTGGACCAGGGCTATCAAAACAGTCGTAAGTTATTGAAGGCTCCATTTCAGGATTTGTTCCCTCTCAATGCCTTGGCTCCAACCCACTTGTTTTTTGTTGACTAAAACTCTTGATTTACTGACACCTACCAGGTATTTGACCCCTCAGTCTGATTTCCCTGAGCCCTGAACATTTCCTATTTCCTCCCATCTTCCCCCAACTTCTGACTTTGTTCTCACTGCCACATTGTGCAAAGTACTCTGTGAGTTTACCATCACTATATGCTGCTTCTGATGCCAAAGAGCAAATCTTGTTTCCTTTTATCTCCTCCCATCTTAACTTTTGGGCTGCAGCTGGTTCCAGCCCCTGCCTGGCAATGCCTAGCTCTATATTCCTCTGGGTTTAGAAACAGGTACTGTTGCATATGAACTCCGCTGCTAATTGTAACATGCTGCTGCATTTTTATTGCCTGAGAACCAAATTTAGTGATGAAATAAGAACCATCTGAAATTATATGCTGAGAGGGGAGGGGAGAGGAAGGTGGCCTGTAAGAATGTTACAGACCTGGGCCTGATTACATTCGTCTTGGTGCCAAAGGTCTGAAGGGCTGAATCTAGCAGAAAGAGCTTTTTTAAAGAACAGAGAGCATGTAACATAAACTGGAGGGTGAACTGCTTTCGTCTGACTCACTGTAGCCAGTGCCTTCCTCCTTACGCCACCTCTTGCTCTTTTTTATTCTTTCTGTGCATTGAATCAAGGAAAATGTACATCCAGTTGTTTCTTTGCCAGTTCACATCACCTTGCATAGCCTTCTCAGCTTTCTCTTTAGTCCAGACTGTTCTGTGAACTGCAGCTACTTATCCCATAACTGCCTCCTGGCCAGATGATTTAGGACCTTAGTTTTCTATCTTGTTTAGTGTTATTGTCTCCCTTATATTGTATGGTCAGCACTGGCTCAAGGAATGGAATCCCACCTGCTTATTCGTTAGCTCCTTGGCTTCTCTAACCACTGCGACAGCCTACCACAGTTTAAATTGTAGGAAGCCACAGCAGAATCATAAGGAAATTGGTTCAGCGATGTCACTATTTTAATTACTTTAGCACTACTCAGTGCTCTGCTTTCATTCCTTTTCAGCAACAATAAATAATACAATCCTGATGTGACTGGAGACTGTGACTCTGGTGGGAGCCATCCGCTGACTCAGCTGCTCCCCCCGGAACACCACAGAGCATATGCCAAGCTGTGCAGGTTTGTTCGTACCTTTGGCTTATCCGCTCACTGCTGAATTTGGAGGTTGATTTGCCAGCTAAAAGACTGAACTGTGGTCAGTACTGATTCTCGAGTGATTTGCTGAGTACAGATGAAAAAGGGTCATAGAAAATTCTGTCTGGAGAAACTTTAGTTTGAAATGACAGCAGCGTGCCTTGTGGCTACCCTGTCAGGAACTCCAGGCTGGAGACAGGGGGGAATAGCTGTACAAATAGCTGTTATCTTAAAGATCTGGAGAAGTGACAACCACCATTAACTGGGGAAGATCCAAGTGAAAGTCATTGGTTTTCTGCTAAGGGGAAATTCTGGAGTATTTCACCTTGAAGGATACCAGACACTGGGTAACCGTTTCCCTGGCCCTCATTTTCTGCCGTGGGAGCCCCTGTGATCACAGCTGTCTGCTGGATGGCACCAAGTATCTTTAGGTTTGAGGGCTGCCTCTGTACTGAGTGAGGAAAGAAAAGTGCAAGTGAAAGACATAATTGTCTCTAATATTATTGTAAAGTTTGGTGGTTTTAAAATTTTATATATTCTCATGGTTTTTTACTGGTGGTATAAAGAATCTCAGCTCTTCAGCCCAGCAGTGCACAAAGCATGTTCCTCTGGGAAACAGCAGAACCTGTCCCAGGTAATGTCCATAGAAAGCTGTGTGCGATTATACGTACAACCAGGACGACCTGCAACAGCACTGGGGCTGAAACTCTTCTAAGAAGACTGTGGTTGGTGACAGGTGGAAAACTCAGCTAGCAGGACAGAAGGGGCACATGGCTGCTAGACTGAGCCACCTCATGTGCCACCAGTAGCTTTGCAAACTCAGGCTGAGGGATAACTTACGGACTGTATCCCGGAGGGAAGGGACACAAGGGATGAATGTTGAGAAACACTGCTGTAGCCATAGTACAGGAACAGGAGAAGCAGCAATGCAGGCTTGTTCACATTGTTCCTTGTGCCTGGGAATGCTTCCCCTGCGGCTGAAGGATAATAACTCATTTTCTTTATCCTTACAGTACATGGCATTTCTATGGAGATGGGTGCCAGTTAGTACTGGCTGTGTCGGTGCCTCTCATAATGGGGAACTGTTGTATCCCTGACTCTGTTCTTTGTACTCTTCTTCCCACTGGAGAGGAAAAAATTTCTGTGTTGAATTAGCTGACCTCAAAACATGGACACAGCTGGGAAATCTGACCATGTCCAGCTGAAGCAGCACATGAAGTACATATGCTTTAGTGAAACAGGGCTTGAAAAAGCTGAAAATCATTGTCAGCCAGTGGTGCAGACCTGACAAAACTATTCATGCTGCATTTCAGGAAAGCAAGCATTTGTATTTTAGGCATTGTCATTTCATAGCACTCATTGTCCAGAGAATCTATTACTAAATACTGAATCTGTTACTAAGGTCCAGGTGCATGAACACAGGACCATGCTGGGGAGACAAAGCAGGTTTCAAAGCAGTCATGGAAAATGTATCCTGAAGAGGGCTAAATGTGTCCTTAAGAAGGGAAGTGTTAAGGAGAAAGATGAGGCGCAGCTACTAACTGGAATCACAAGAGAGCACAGAGCAATTCTGCTTTTTTTTTCTCCCTGTTTTAGGAAACAGAGTAGATAGGCCAGGTGTAGGAGAACATCTGTGAAGTGTGGAGACTGCAGATGTTCTGCTACATATCCTTGCTTTGTGTGATTGGAAAAGGCAACAAGACAATGCAGCATTTCTGGAGTTCAGAGATCCCTATGGGCAGGGATCCCTTTTATAAACATGCTGTTTCTGCCGTCGGACAAAGAATTTTCTAAGCCTGGAAAATATTGTCTCTTCTGTAACTTAGTGCCCACTTCATTATATACAAGACAATTTGTATGGTTTGGTTAAGGTGATTACTAGTTTTAAAAATACAAAAGCTAGGAAAACTAATTGCTCCAGGTGAGTTAAAAACTCGGTCTCATGTATCTGATGTTACAGTAGTGCAGATCATAACAGCAGCCATTTCATTAAATCCTGTACTGGGTCTCGTGCAGTGGGATGGGAGGACCAGCCACCTTACCACTTCAAGAAATTTATACAGCTTAACACTAGCATTTTTTAAATGAACGGCTGCATGCAAAACGTACTGTGCTGGAGTCACTGCTTTGCAGAGAAGCAAAAATTCACTGAGCAGTTGACTGGCAGTAGCTTGTGCAATTTCCTGCAGGAACTCAGAGTATTCTTGAAATGTGAGAGCTGCTGTCTTCAAGGGGAGATCTTGTCGGCACTATGTTGCCATCACGTTATACTATACAGTCTGGGCTGATTTCCCTGCTTCTTTCCTCTCCACACACCCAGTTGGAGCACTGGTGCAAATGCACAGGGCTTTTCCTTTCTCCATTGACAGAGCAGAGCAGAACCCTTCTGTTTAGCAACCTATTGCACTGTGACCTAGAACAAATGTTAGTTGTGTTGCTTACTGAATACTGGAAGGTTGTAACCAGGAGAAGATGATAGGTTATTTGAAACAGTTCAGAAATGACATGTGTTCTGCAGCTTTTGCTGCCTGCATGACAATTATCTTGTAGCAAGTGCTGTTCCTGGTTAAAGATTCATGACCGTCTTTGAGAGTGCTCCCCCAGGCCTGCAGAATTCCAGTCTGGCTGGCAGTAATGATCCTTCTGGCCCCTGTCCCTTATTACTTCTCTATCTAGAATAGATCTTGCCTCTAATGTGTCAGAAATTCAGGGAAGATTTGACTGCTAGAACAATAGCAATTTGCCGTCGCTGTCTGGGTCCTATTCTATGGGTACACGTCTGTAGCATGTTTTTATTCCCTTGAACTGGTATTCCCTCATGCACACAGGCCATACAGTGCCCCATGATCATTTTGCACCTGTGTGTCTGCTGGAAGACAGAGAACACATGTGTATTTGGCTGGAAGGATTGATGCTTTTAGCCTCCGCAGCAGTGAACGTGTCCGGATTCTTTCCTCTTTTTGTAGACACGGATGCTCTTATGCCATGTCCAAATGTATCGAAGTACTTCTGGTGTATATTAAAAGTAGGTACATGCTAGGAAACACTACATGTAGAAGCGAAAAATACATTTTTTCCTGCCCTTTCTTTAGTGTTATTGGTGTGTGATCAAAAGAAAGGACTGACCTGATTTTCCGCAGTGCTCAGCACCCACATGTCCCAGTGAAGCTGATGAGAAGTGCAGGAGCTTACTGTTATTGAAATCAAGCCCAGAATATGACTCATACTGCTGTGAAGGAGATACTTGACAACTAAATGAAAATATATACAGATAGAAGATACCACAGCATTTCTGTTGAACATTTTATTGTGAAATAACCTTTTGGGTGGTGTTTCTATCGCAAAGCTACAACTGTTGTATAGCTCTTACAACAGATTAATTGAAACACTATTTTCTGTATTTTAACTAGAACATCCTTGTATGTAGAGAAAACAACTGGTATACGTTGTAATCACCTATATTTTGAAGCAGGCCTTTGCAAGATCCTGGCCACAGCTCTGCTCTCTGGAGAGTAAAACTCATTTGGGCTCAGAGTCAAGCCTTCTCACATATTTGCACTTGATGTTGTGGTCTGCATGTTGATGCTGCTGCTGCTGCACACTGATCCTTTACTGGGCTGTATGGCCATGTCTGTAACACAGCCTATATCTTGAAATAGCGAATCTTCCCAGGGCATGGAGGAGGAGGAGGCACAAAGCCAACTGGGCGAGGTACTTTGTCATGCTGAGCAACCTCTGCAATGGCTCTCTTTGCTACAGATTTTGCTGAGAGCATTGAAGCAGGAAATTCTGAAGAGCTGGATTCAGATGCAAAAGGGTTATTGTGGGAAAGCCTGAGATTATGGTTTGTGAAGCCTTGTACGACATTGGGCAACAGTCCTGCTGATGTGTCTTGACCTGGTTGAGAGTAGGTAACTCCAGGCTGCAAAAGAAAAACAGTTTGTGTTTGCATTCAGTGATTTGGGTTTTATAATAAATACACAGGTCATTGATACCTTACTAGGTACCCTGCTCCTAACTAGATATAGGCCTCCAACCCAGGTACAAAATGTTCTTGACCATCACAGAAGTTTGATTTGCGTTTGAACACATACACAGGAGCCCAGGAATAGATTTTTAATATCCAGTGGATCATTAGCACCAATTTCTGTGCTATGTGAACTTTCAGGGCCACCTGTGCAGCTGGCAAAACATTCAAGACCAGCTGTCTTATTCTTTCTTTCTTATACCTCCTAGAGAGCTAATTACTATTGTCTTACCAAGAGCATCTGGTCTGTAGGAGGTATTCAACCACCACCTAGCCCTTCTCAGACCAAATGGAGACTGAAATACCCGGAGAGCACTCCGGTCCAACGCATTTATGTTTCCCTCCTCTTGCTGTAGCAGTGCAGGTCAGGCTCCCTGAATTCAGTCACGTCTAAGGGCTACTAGCAAACGACCCCAGCTGATTTCATCTACCACAATGGCTCACTTGTCTTTTACATCTATCTGCCCGATCCCCCTAGCTGAGCAGAGTTTGGTTGCTTTTGCCCTACCAGGCATGCAATGTTTCCAGATGGTTGGGAGGACAAACTACGTCAAGCATGGATGGCAAAGCTGATGTAATTCCTTGCACTGAAACCCACAGGATCATCAGAGCTACCTTACCTCATTTTTTAGGATATGAAATTAAACTCAGTTTATCACAGATAGCTAACGCAGTCTACAATGAGAGAGGTAAACTCAGGGTGCTTGCTTCTAACAGTACTAGTAGACTAGAATACTCTGGAAAGGAAGGGAATAGCTGGAGTTGGGACCTGATGTCCGTAGAGCTGGCAGTCCACTGTGAAGTCCTCTGATGGGCTTGTTACCATCGCTGCTGTGCAGAAGCCAAAATTCTGGCAAAGCAGAACATAGTCAAGAGAAAATTATATAAAATAGAGACCTGCATTACAATTTTTAAATTTCAGTACATTTAGAAATCGCTACATCTTCTCATGTTTTGTCTGAGCAGTACAGTGCTTGCCTTTTAGTCTGTTGGACTCAAAATCCAAGCTGTTTAAATGCCTAACCAGAAAATAAGTGAAACCCCTGTTTTCTTCTAGAGTAAAATCCTTGGTACCTTGGTATGTCTGGATATGAGGGAGGGAAAGAATATATAGGAATCTAAGTAAAATCTTCCTACCCACTAAAACTGCCTAGGACTCAATTTCACCAGGAACGAAAGAAGAATTTTAGCATGATAAAGTATACAGTAAAATTCTCCAGAGCCTATATATCAGGGCAAAGTACACTGACAGCACTTAAATTATAGGAAGGTGAAACAGTCTGCACTTTTGTTATGTGCTTGTGTACTGTCCAGTATGAAGAGCCTGATTTTCTCAGGTGCTCATGTTAAGAAAGTTGTACAATAATATATATTCCGTTGAATGAAAATCTTTTGTGTCAAGGACGCTTTGGTCCTCCAGCCTTCTTGATATGTATTCAAATGCATCAGGATTCAGTACAGATACCTCAGAGAGAAGAGAAAGGTATGATACAGCTTTAGGAATTATATATCGAAAAGTGTATCATGGTGGTATACAACTCTTGGACTTTCATCCTCACAGAGGTTTAATCCTGCACAAGTGTGAGCACGTCCCAGCATGCTGCTTTTCTACCTCTGAGCAGGCAAGGTCAGGACTGATGTGCTGGCATACTTACAGACTGATCGTCAGGCAGCAGTTGACAAGCCTCTACATTATGTTTAGCTTTTTAGCAGCCACAGCAAACTCAACAGACACAATATGCGCTGGGTGATACTGATAAAACAGGAAAATTGTTTGACTTTGCCCTGTGAAACTGCAGAGCTGCTGAGAAAGCATGAAAGGCAAATGTTGTGGCTTCTAGCTCTGCATCTCCCACTGAAGTGAAAGGGAATCCTGTGACTAAAATGACACAAACCGCTTGGGAAATCAAGAGCAATTCAGTGGCGCAAATGAGATCAGGCTAACTTGCAATAGGACAAGGGGTAATGGTTTTAGACTAAAAAAGGGTAGAATTTGACTAGATGTAAGGAAGCCTTTTTTTACAATGAGGGTGGTGAAACACTGGCACAGGTTGCCCAGAGAGGTGGCAGATGCCCCATCCATCCCTGGAAACATTCAAGGTCAGGTTGGATGGGGCTCTGAGCAACCCGATCGAGTTGAAGATGAAGGGTATGGGCTAGATGACTCCTAAAGGTCCCTTCCAACCCAAAGCATTCTATGATTTTATGAAATCTGTTCCTAACATAACTAGTTAGTCTAACATAATTGGTTAGGACTGCACAATTGCCACAGAAGACATACTCTGTTTACATGGAAGGCTCGACATAGTTCTAGCGATTACCTGAATTTTGGCTCTTCCAATCTCAAGAAGTCTGAGGTAGGCACCAGCAGTTTTGCTGTTGTGCTCACGGAGTGCGGCTGTAACTGTTGTTGTTACCTCAGTGTTATTCAAACTTGCCAGCAGTGGACAGTCGGGGCAGAGCTGGAGAACATCTTCACTTGAGTCTGCAGGAGGAAGCAAACAGGTTATGTTTCGATCAGCTCGTAGATTGTTTTGAAAGGCTTTATAGACCTATTTGGTCACACAAAGCGCAGTTTCACAGTCTGTCCCAGCCGGCAGCGGAAGGCATCTCTGCAGTACAGGCTACAGATGGCAGCATGCCCACGGCCTCTGCCACACAGGCCTTTCTGCGTGCAGGAGTGCTGTGGGCTTCAGTCAGCACATTCTGAATGTTCTTACTCAGGTTTTAATCCATCCTCTTTCTGGCAAACTATCCATGACACCAATGAAAGGGTGTCTCAGCTCACGCAAGGAATGGGGGAAAAATGAAGATATTTTAATTTATTGGAATTGTGTTTGTGTGTGTTGTTTCATTCACTCCCCGGTTTTAAAAGTAGTACCGAAGTCATCTGGTACAGAGGAAGAGATCTCATACAGAGCATGCAGCATAGAGAGTCCACTTTCCCATGGCAATATTGAAAATGCTGGGTTTAGTAAATAAGCTGCATCTGGCAAAGCAGCTCTGAAGATCAACAAGCTCTAATAAACTCGGAACAACAAGGAATCAAATTCTTGAGGCTAAGCTCCTGAGTGAAAAGCCTCAGTACCAGCAATCTCAAGGTCAAATCTGGGAGTTACTCCCCAGGTAGTCTTATAGTATCTTAATTGTCATAGTAAAGAGAGAGGGCTGGGTTTGTAGTTGAATGAAATCATGAAAGTGGAAAAAATTACTTTCAAAACAGCTGGTTTTATAAAACCCATTAACTATCATCCTTTACGCCATTTTTATACACGGCACTTGCTGGCATTTTAGAATCAGAAAAGCCAGTGAACTGTAACCACTGCTATAATAATACTCCAGCCCCTAGATTCAAACCTAAAGAACAAAATCTTTACCTGCATGTGAGTGGCATTTACTAGCAAGCACAGATAACTTTCCATCCAACTTCTGCAGTTTGACATCACAGTCACCCTCAACTGCCTAGAGAGGGAAAAATCACAGGGTTATGTCGTTTAGATAAATAGGAATTTCTGAAAAGGGCAACTATTACTAAATTCAAAAGAACAGATCCTGACTGAGTGTTCCTGGCAAAATCAGTCTGACTGCAAAGGCGCTGCTGGGCGTGTCCTGGTGTCTGGTTTTGTAAAAGGCAGACCAGAGCTGCAAAATTTGGATTCAAATCAGGATCTCAGAAGTACCAGAAGTGCCAGAGTAACAGATTATGGATGTTTGGTTTAGGTTCCTCACTCATAAAGAGCAAAGAATATGAATACTTATGAATTAAGACCTTCTGCAGAGCTGTTTGATAGCATTCTCACTAATCTCATCTGGTCAGTGGCCATAGTAACAGCAGAGTGTGCTGCCTGGTGTGAGCTGGCTTCCATGCAACATGATCCAGCCAGGGAGGAGATGTCAAAGGCAAAGCTGGAGTCACTGGGCAGAGGGAATAGGTAGAGTTACCTCCCCCAAGATGGAAAATAGGGTCTGAGCCCTGGTGAATACAGGGTTGGATCATGATTCAGACTTAGTCGTGAGCTCTGTGAATTGGGCCCTGTTCTAGAAACAGCAGGCTTGAATTGTCAATTGCTCACTCTGCTTTCTGCTTAGAAACCAGAGCTGCCTGTATTCAGACAACACTTCAGCTGCTCTGGTTAGGGAAAGCTTTTCACAGTTGGATCTCTTATCACACTTGCATAAGAACAAAATATTTGAGGTCAGTAAATTTCAGCTGAGCATTACTTTGAAGGCAGAGCCTTGTCTGAAGGTAATAGATCTCCTGCAGTGTTGACTAGGAGTAGTGGCTAGACTTGACAGACTTTCACTAGTTAACATCCCACATGTAGCCAAGGGAAGGTTGTGTTTGCACAGACCCACAACCTGCCCCATCTACAGTTTGCAACAAGGCAGTGACATCTGGGCTGACCACGGAGGGCTGAACCTGGAGCTCCTAAACAAGGCCGCATGGCATTCATAAACTGTATGTGGGATGTTACGCTGACAGTGACCTGTCCTCGTTATGTGATGGGACATGAAAGAAATCCAGGAGTGAATTCCTTCATGACATGAAGGCAACTAAATCAACAAAGAGGTTACAAGTTATTAGGTGGTTATAGGCTGTTACAGTGATATAATGTTTGCTTGGAAATCTGACTGATGATAGCCTTGCCTCTAACATCAACATAGTGAACATGAACCTTTGGACTGAGCTACTAGTGTTTTAGATACTCACATGTTCTGTGAACCTCCTTACTGTGCAATTTTCAAGAGGCGTAGAGCTGAGAACGTGGCACGTGGTCTCTAATAAATCAAGTTCAAGAAATATTATGTCATTATTCAGCCCCTGGAAGGAAAAAAATGACCAGGAATTGTCATAAGTACTTCACAAAACATCACCAGATTTCTTCTCTGGGACTGCACTGTGGTCTGCTGACTGTCATTGGGTAGCTCCAGGTATACACTAGTGTAACTGAATAGGTTCTTACTATTTAACTTCATAAAAATAGGTCCCAGCTTTTTAGCTGGAGTAAGTCAAGACAGTCACACTGATTTTTTTTCCATCTAAGGAACTGGCCCATAACTTTTGGGAGCTCCAGTCTGTATGTAGTAGGTCAGTTCTCTTAAGTTAACTTGTTTTTATTTTGTTGGGTAGTTCTAAAAAATCAACAGCTGTCTTTTTGTTGACAAAAAAACTTGTTTCTATAACCAGATACCAAATAAACACTAGTGCACATTGGCCTGTCCCATTTAGTCTGTTGGAATTACACTGAATTGCACCAGCTAAGTTCCAGCCCCAACTCATGTTATTTATGGACTGCAGGATATTTTATGGTTGTTCCTAAACCTTTGCAACTACAACATAAGACATGTGAGTGGAAGGCACAAATGAGGTGCCCTAGCTCCAAGGTTGACTCTAAGGTTTGAGTCATAAGTGATTCCATTTAAACCAATGAAGTTATTTTAGTGTAAAAGTATTAAATATGAGCAAAGCAGTGCTAGCAGTGTTTTTGTGTGGGTAACTGTGGACACACTTCTAGTCTCATTAACGTCTGTTTTAGTCTCTTGTAAAAGACTCTGGTGTCCTCTCTCTCATAACAAGTAGATAACAAGCCATGGAGTTTCATTCGTGTTAATATTTGGGACCATTTTCACTGTTTTGAGAGAATCAAAGGTTCTGAGTAGGCACATACATTGTATTCATGACCATTTCTACAGCCTTTCTAGATGCATACAATGATGGCAGTAGATCTTAGTGAAAATGAGACTACAAGCCGCAGCCACTTCCATTCAGCTTCCTTGTCAGCTCAGTGGGACATTATGTAAAATTAATGCCTACTACAAAATCACTAATAGCATGGAGTTATTATAGGTATGCATTTAGCCAATAAATAATTACCTATATCACAAAGATTATCCTCACAGTTTTTCTTCAGATTAGCTACTGGGCTCATGAATCAGCAGTTTGAATGATCTGCCCCAGCAACTATGCTGCATTTGTAAACTGAGCCCTTTCTAGCATCGTACAAAAATATCTGAACATTTCTCTGTCCCCCTCTGTTCTGCTCTTTGAGAGATACATTCCAGTGACCCGGATTCTCAACTGCTACCGGGTGGCATTGGCCCATTTAAATCAACAGAGCTGTGCTGATTTACCCTGTGTGAGGATACAGCCCTTGGCAGGGCTTGGTCATTTCCAAGCATCTCCAGGTTAACACAATGCTCTGCCTGCAAGCTCCTCACTTACCTGGGGTAGCACGCGGATATTCTCGATTCTGTTTAAGGCAAACTTGTATCCGTGATGACTGTGGCCATTAATATAACTCACAGCTACTTCAGCTGCTGCTTCAGATTCTGGGTCATCGCAGCGCAAGGGAGCAGGGGGAGCTGCTGGTACAGCTTTGTGAGTTGGAAGCTGAATGAGCAATATCAAAGCTACGAGTGCCTTCATGGCACCTGACAAAAACTGATCCCTTTCAGAAATAAAGATCTAAGAATACTGTTCAGATGGTAGCTAGGTGGCTAGAACTGGGGTCTCATTTATATAGTACATAGCACAGACTTCACCTGAGCGCATGTCTGATATTTGTCCCGGTTCCAGGAGGCATTGCAAACAACAAAAGAGAAAAGTAAATGTTAGGACATCAGGTTGACTGATTAATATTGGCCAAAGTAAATTTTATCAAGTAGGATATTGCAAAGTCTGCTAAAGCAGCAAAAGAAGAAAGTGTCAGCAAAAAGGTAACATAATTTTTAGACACTTCTACCAATCTGATACAGTACGTGCAAGAGGGATATGATCCCTCCTGTTAGATATGTAGAGATGCTAGTGCTAATTAAGCTTTCTTGTAAATAGGACACATTCTGTTAGGGCCCAAATCTCACCAGACACCAGTCTAAATTGTGAGATCAGTAACAGATAAATTCAGAAAATGGAATTTGAACCCATCCTAAAGATCACATTCAGCAGTAAATGTAATTATATAGCAACTTTGCTACTGAATTCATTTGGAATAGGAAATGAGACACAGTTTCCAAATCTTTGGCATCAGTACTTTGTTTCTCTGAATAATCTGAATACGGTCAGTAGTTCCTGGAATTTTGTTTTGCAAAGAAGGAGTCTGGTAGACATTTTTCTGGAATATGTTGTACAGATCTGAGGATTTGACGTAAGATCCTAAAGGGCACAAAAGTGTTTTAAGGAGAATGTAGCTGCTTAAATACTCAAGAGTGCTGGACCCCAGCTTATATTTACATTCACAGTGTACGTGTTTACAAAACAGTAACTGGATAACAAAAAGGTATTATGGAACAGAATATTACTTCAATGATGTGTCCAGTATTTAAGGTCCTCAATTTAAGCTGAAATGACTCTAGCTAGATAGGCTCTAGCTCAACCAGTAGAGAAGTTTTCTCTGCGGGGATTTCAGAGTAGGTTTCTATGATCCATTTTATGGTGGTGATCAGGATGCAGAATAGTAAAGATCTCTTTTGACTTTAAAATATCTCTTTTGACTTTTGACTTTAAAATATCTGAATCTCTGTCGTCAGTTGCAAGGAATTCAGGAATTAGCTGCAGATTTGAGATGAATAGGAGGACTTCAGCATATGTTGAAGTTTTCACTTTAGATAAGTATTTCTCAACTTACAAGATAGCATGAGTGGGGCTAAAAGATTTGTGAAAAGAGTAGTCTTGAGTCATACCTCTCTTCTCAAATCTGCAAATATGGAAAACAGCATAAATAGAAATGGTTTGGTTGGACAGATTAAGTGATGAAGAAGGAGAATGGGAAGAGACTAAAAAGATGGAATTATTTCCTTCAGCTGTGTGGGATAAGGTGAGGTTTGGATACCAGGATTTGCATATTGAAGAGATTTCTGGGGAAAAGAAAGGCTCTTATTCCCCTTTCTTGCAGGAAAAAAAATGTTCTGAGCATGATTCGTTTCTTCCCCTCATTTGAAGCAGGTGTTGTGGGTATCTTTTGAATCACGGCAAATTTATTTAGAGAGGTAGTATTTCACTCTTTTCTTTTAACCTACAGTTCAGTTTCCAACCTGTGAATCATTTAATTCCCGTTTTCCTTTTCTGATATGAAACATTGGGGTAAACTTCCAACAGGTGCAGATTGAAATTGCTTTTCCATTAAGTGACATATGGTTACGCCAGTGAAGGATTTAGACCATTATTTATATATTTAGTGTGGTCATTACTCAGTTTCTTAGGTTATATCTTCCTCTCTTGAGAGCTGCAAAGATTGCAGGATGTATAACATCTCTGCAGTCAAGCTCTAGGTATTCCTAGATACAACGTGTAGCCCAGTTCAGTCAACTTCAGGTTCCATTTTCAAAGAACAACTTAAAACCTCAAATACCAAACAGTTTTTATTACCTTCTTTCTTCCCTCTCCATTGTTGCTCACATTCAGTATTCCATTTACCGAGCAGGACAAAAAGGAAATACTTCAGAGTCCATTGTACCTCTTCTGTTTCTCTACAGTCTTACTCAAGACTTTCCTCTCTTAGTGACTGTCTGAACTTTCTTTGCTGGCATACAGAGCATCAGAAATGTGCCCATGTGATTGTTAATGCTCACCTCAATGCAGAATGTTTGCAGCTAGCACTTTTTGGGTGACTTGTAATATGTGTGGGAAACTAGTGTTTGGTTTTTATGTTTGTGAACAGAGTTTGAAAGTGCAATCAGGTAGTTTGTCTACAGGTAATACGACAAAGGAGCCTTTCGCCTTTTGGATACAGACTGACACTGATCTGCCTAATTATTCCCTTCTGGAAGTGAGATTTCTGATGGCACTTCCCAGCAGGCCTGTGTCCCATCACTCAAGAGGCAATAATTGCAGAAATAACTTCTCATTGAACTCAGTGCAGATCTATTCCCTCTCTTTCATGTCCAGGACATAGCAGAAAGTTGTCCTTTAGTACTGGCTGCAAATTGTTCTCACAGCACAAGACACTGAGCTGAATTCCATGGGCTCCTGGACAGAAGGCCACATCTCAACCCCCCCAGTCTTTCACAGAGTCACAGTATCGCAGAATGGTTGCTGTTGGAAGAAACATCTGGAGGTCATCTTGTCCATCTCCACTGCACAAGCACGGCCACTTACAGACAGCTGCCCAGGACTGTGTCCAGAAGTCTTCTGAATATCTCCAGGGAGGGAGACTCCACAGCCTCTCTGGGCAACTTGTACCCATGCTTGCTCACTCTCACAGTAAAAAAGTGTTTCCCAATGTTCAGACAGAACATCCTATTTCAGTTTGTGCTCATTGCCTCTGGTCCTGTCACTGGATGCCACCGAAAAGAGCCTAGCTCCATCCTCTTTTCACTCTCACATCAGGTATTTATACACATTAAGAAGATCCTCACCAAGCCTTCTCTTCTCTGTGCTAAGTAGTCCCAGCTCTCTCAGACTTTCCTCATAGGAGAGATGCTCCAGTACCCTAATAATCTTGGCGGCCCTTTGCTGCCCTCTCTCCAGTATGTCCGTATCTCTCCTGTACTGAGAAGCCCAGAACTGGGCACAGCACTCCAGGTATGGCCTCGCCAGTCCTAGATAAAGCGGAAGGATCACCTTCCTAAAGCTGCTGGCAATACTTGGCCTAGTGCAGCCCAGGATACCGTTAGCCCTCTTTGCAACAAGGGCACATTGTTGACTCGTGTTCAGCCTGGTGCCCACCAGGACCCCCAGGTTCTTTTCTGCCAAGCTGCTTTCCAGCTAGGTGAGCCCCAGCATGTATTCATGCATGGGGTTGCTCTCCCCCAGGTGCAGGATTCCAGACTTATTGTTGAACTTCGTGAGGTTCCCATCAGCCCATTTCTCCAGCCGGTCATGGTCCCTCTGGATGGCAGCACAACTCTCTGGCATATCAGCCACTCCTCCCAGTTTTGTGTCATCTAGAAACCTGCTGAGGGTACACTCTGCCTTGTCATCCAGATCATTAATGAAGACATTAAACAAGACTGGACCCCAGTATTGACCCCTGTGGTACACTGCTAGTTACTGGCCTCTAACCAGACTTTGTGCCACTGATCACCATCCTCCAGGCCCAGACGTTCAGCCAGTTTTCATCCCCCCTCAGTCCACCTCAATCCAACTTTCACATCAGTAGTGTTAGACTTTGGTCCTAGTGAATTAGGTTGCTGGAGAGACTTGACAAGGCTTCACTGTGATGGAAGTAGAACAAGCTGGGTTTACTGCCCTTGTTATATAAAATATAGTATTGATTCTATGCTCAAGAATTGAGGCTCCACTGAATCTCAGTTCTTAATAATTCATATAAACCACAATGGAAAGGTGAGTTGATGGGTTTCATTGTTGCTTTCTCTTTTTCTTTTGGTTGGGTGCTTGTAAAAAACTAGTGATGATTGCAAACTTGCTACCCCTGCTCAACCTCATCTGGAAAAAAAGCAAAGAATTGCTTCTGCAAGATGTCAAGCTGACACCTTCCTAAGCTTAAAATTCAAACAAATTAAACAAGCAAACAGATAAATATCATCTTTTTAAAGCTTCAGATCAAAGTTAAACACTTGTGGGGATTTCTGAGGCTCTCTTTTCAGATTACTAAAACGTCATTTTTTGGTAAAGCAGACAGAACTGGTCCAATTCTCTGCACCACATCAAAAGATGCATTTCTGAGCAGTCAGGCATTGTACAGTACCGCAAAACTTAATCACCTCTTGCTTTACACTTGATTAAGTACATTACTTTTGGATCATAGAGTTCACAAGATATTGGAACATCAGGGCTGTCTTCTATATAGCCATCACCTACACAGAAACCTGCACACTAAGACAAGAAAATGTCTGCAAAGAAAATGTCAGATAGTTAAAGTGACTGGTCTTGTCACGGCAGTGTATTGCTTCCTTAAATGACAGTATAATCATCATTTGAAAATAAAGTGCATGAAAACCCATAGAGATCTGAGAAAAACCTCAAAACAGATTAGACTAATTGATTTACATAGTATTATTGGCCCCTTTCCACTACATGGGCAAATCTTCAGCAGCTGTAAGTTGGCTTGGATTCACTATACTCCAAGTGCCCCAGTGTCCCTATGGCAAAAATTTCAGGCTGCAGAAAAACCCCTGAACTCTGAACAGTTTTACCAGACTGTAATAGAACATTATAAGTTAGTTTTTCTTTTTTTCTTTTTAATGTAAGAGTCTTTAAGGGAAGGAAGGCTGATCATGTGCCATAGTTTGCTGTAGTATTTGCAGCTGAGAGATTGCTTTCTGTGAGAAATGAAATGTGCAGATATGGCACCTAATTTGGGAGCCTTTAGTTTTGGGTGCCCAGCTAGAGATCCTTTTTCACTCAACTTTGCTGATCTCAATCTGTTATTCCCTATTTTCTTTTAACTGTAAAATTGAAATAACTATTTTCCATTTTACTTCTGTGACCTGAAATATCATACTGAATTTTGTAAAAGTTTCGATATC